ANGGGTACTAGGTAAGTATGGAATATCGATTGAAGTAGTAAGTCTTCATCAGTTGAGGTGGTTGGGAAGTTTGTTACGAATACCCAACCACCTACTGCCTCGACGAGTGATGTTATATGATGTAGGGGCAGAATGGAAGAAAGGTAGGGGGCCAGACCAAGACATAATACTAATCCATAAAGTCACTGACAAATGTACTGAACCATGTTAGCAGGTGTAGACTACCTGGTTGGGGTCAGCGAGACAATTGTGACCGGTGGTTAAAGACTGAATGACGTGGCTCAAAATCTTTGCAATAGTGCAGATGTATTCATTCTTTGTGTTCTCTCAAATTCTAATTTTCTGAATACCTCATGACGTTTTTACGGTTTTTAAATTGATTTCACTGGGATTTTATACACATAAACAGCGGTACAAAGGTGCACAACCATATTTATGCGCCATGCAAATTATTGAACTTATGTGCAGGCTGAGATACTGCCCAGGTGCCCAAATAGAGGCAGATGGTTTTCATAGGAGGCCACAACATAAGTCCTTGACATAAAATCTGATCCACGAGGCAGTGGAGCGATGTCAGGAGATGCAGTCCCATGGTAGCCGCTGATCAACAATAGGTTCATACGTTATTTGTTAACTCGACGTCCAGAAGCCTATATGCATCATTGGAATCAGGATCTTTCAACTCCCCTAGGTGGATCCTCCGTACCCACCAAACGAGTTAAAGCACCAGAAACACCTCTTGATTTTGCAAACACCCCCACCACAAGAAGGCAGTGAGTATGACTTCTGTGGCGGTGGCTATAAACGCATGGCCATTTGAGAGCATTTAGAGGAGAGAGGACTATCATCACGCTAGGTTGTACCAGGGCACTGACAGACAAGATAGTAGATAAACACTATCGAGCTAAAAAACTTATAACCATACAACATAAAACAAAAGACAATAGCAAACAGATCTCAATTCAACTTACAGATGGGCCTAAAACTAAACCGTAAGGTCCCTCATTCTGAATAAATGGAATTTTTTGTTCTTGATCCATAGAAAATAATATAATTGGTATTGAGAACACCATTGTTTTCCCGGAACCGGTGAATGCGATTCCAATCATATCTCGGCCACTTAATACAGCTGGTAGACCTTGCATTTGAATCGGTGTAGGCTTTTTTATTCCTCGCACTTTTAATATGTCAATCAAAGCCCTTGGAAAACACATTTCACCAAAATGTCGAATTGGAGCAGGTACATCGTCACCTTCAGTTAAAATTCGAAACTTTTTGCGGATTTCCTCAGACTTCTCTTCACTTTGTTCCCGAATATATATAGGTGGTACCCAACTAATATAAAAAACAATTATTATGATTACCATACTACTATACCTGGTTTGAATTGGTTTATCATACTGGATGCCTTTTGCTAGTTCAGCAACACCTTTCAAAGCTGTCTTTTCAGCAACACTTTCCAAAATCTTAGCTTCTTCCTTCAACTTTTTATCTCGTTCTGTTTCTTTTCTTTCTAAGTTTGGTTAACACAAAAACACTAAATGAACATACCTTCAGCTTTTCGTTTTAATTCCCACATTCTATCAAATAAACTACCCTGAGCATTAGGTCCATGATGTTTGTCATCAGATGATTTTTTTGCTATACCGTCTGGGTCATCTTCTTCCATATGTTCTGCTCCATTAGCCTGATCTAGTTCTTCCTCAGGTACTTCTGTGTAAGCAAGATTACCCAATACACGCTGTAGTGAAGTAAGCTGAAATGGGAATGATTGAATATTTGTGACTAGTGAAACTAATAGTACAGAAAGATGTTCACTAATATAAAAGCATGTCTGTACATTTGAGATGAGTAAACTGTTTGTTTTCATCAGACTTTGGAATTAAGTTCTGGAGTACACTAGTTTTTGCAAAAGTTAATGATATTACCTAGAGGTTTAGATCTAAATGGATGAACTCGGACTCGAATATGACATCTAATCCATGGAATTGGAATCCATTAGTCCCCAAGCCTTTGAGTTACCACAAAGAGCTGATGCCATTTTAATAAACGTACTAGTTGCACTCAAACATCTTAAACTGTGCATACACGTGCCAATGGTTTTGACAAAGAAATCTATAACCATAGAATCGTGAGTGTTTAAAACCAAACTTTATTTTCGTCAATATCTTTATATTTTCCATATTATGAAAGTGGTTCAAAATCAAAACAAGGAATTGTAATCCGTTGATAAAGTTATTTAAGTCCCTCAACAATTTTTGAGAAGGTAAAGATTGACCAGATCTTATTTCAGTATTACGGAATTAGATATCACGAGGCTCAGATAGAGGTCGAAGAAGCCGCGGCTTGTTTAAACTTTCGACTCATCATTTCTTGAGACATATAGTTATTACCATAAATTTACTTGTTTTGGAAGTTTTCAATTCGCTAATTAGATCTGTTAACTGCATGTGCTTACATGCTTTTATGAAACGTTCATAACCCATAATGAATGTAATTAACGCTAAACTCAAAGAGTACCACCGAAGAAGCTCGTACATTTTCTTTTTTCAGAAACAAGGAAGATTATTGCAAGATTTACATATTAAATCGGTCAGGCAATGAAAAGAGACGTCATGAGTCTAGTCGTAAACATTTTCAAATGACTATGAATCCCAGCTTATCTCTGTCTGAGCATTTTTAAACATATATTTTGGATATTCACACGTTAAATGTTTATTAAATGGGAATTTTGTTGGAATTGTGTATTTTCTGCTGCGAATTCTTCGTCATAGTCAAATATAAGGCATAGGATATAGTTGATTATTATCATTACTGGTGAGTATTCAGGTTTGAAACATTTTTTGTTACCTGTAAAACAGGCAATAAAGAGACTTATCTAATATTGGACTGAGCTAGTGTATGTATTTAGATAGCTAAATTTTTATTCAACAACTATCTAATAACAAACGAACTAGTCAGAATATTTATCCACTCGATATCGGTAGCAGTACATTTTTAGCAGTTGCAAAACATTCTTCAACCCACCTATTTCGACTTGAGTAGCCCTATAGAATATTAAAACGCTGATGATAGGTGTACTTCAAAGCACACGGATTACTGAGACAAAAACTAAATCATCATGAACATTTTGTCTAAATAAATGGATAAACACAAGTATAATAGACTGATATAATGATATCATATTGAGAAATATTATTCGTTAAAATGGACACTTGATGATATCAATAATAAAAATTAAAGAAGTGATAATTCGAGTTTGTTTTGTAGTATACCAAATCAGACACTAGTTTTATTATTCATTTTACCAGAAATAGCCTACATTAAGTTTCACTAATATAGTCCCAGTTTAGTAAGTATATATGGTATTGGCAAAATAAGCGGGATAGTTTTGCAAGTGATGGTTGGAAGTAATGCATTCCCCTTTAGGTATTATTATTAGTGGTGTGTTCCACTTAGTGTTTACATAACAAGTCAAGTTAGTAAAGTGGTTCATGCATCCTACTTTTTTTTCATACTCATATTATGATGACCAAATGCATATTAACCATTTCATATTGCTTAAATACTGTGGATGGATTAACTACTGCCGAAGAATCCTCAATAACTTCTTACTCAATGCTCGCCAAAAGTAATAAAAACAAAGAGTGTTTGAATGAAAAACATTTCACAGCCACATAGAAGTCAGGAGTGAGGCACTTGTAAATATTTTTTTTTAGAAACAAATACTTCCCAACGTAGCCTAAACTTTTCTTAAGAATATCCAACGTTTTTTAGATTACTTCAACACTTAAAACTAAGCATTGTAACCAAATATAACACAGAATGAAAGAAAGATGAAGCAAATTACCTCCTGTTGTTTACGTTGCTTGACTGGTATATAAGGGACATAATCATCATCCGATAAGCCAGATGATTCGCCTGATTTGTCCAAATGCTGTAAATGAAAATTAAAAAGAAATTGTAGTTTTTGTATTATATTAAAAAAAATTCACAAAATTTATGTCCAATGTCATTTAAAAATATTTAAGGAATGGATTAAAATTTACTTATCAAACACAAGCTATTAACGGCCAATAAATAGGAGCAAAGAATCATATAGTGTGACTTTGATGCAAACTGATGTTTTATTGTTGGTATAGAATCAGAGTAAAAAGGAGCGAAAGCTAGGGGCGGCCAAAGCAAAACATGGCAGAAATCCATGAAGTCACTAACAAATGGACTGAGTCATGTTGGCAGGTGTCGACTACCTGGTTGGGGTCCGCGAGATGATAGTAATCGATGGTTAGAGACCCTGAATGATATGGCTCAAAACCGTTTGCAATGGCGCAGGTCATTCACTCTTTGTGTTCTCTCAAGTCCTAATCTTCCTTCCTCATCACCTTTATACTTTTTGAATAATATCTTCGAACCCTAACATTTCCGATTACTGCTAATACTTTCAATACCTCTACTGCTATGGGATTTGAATCGACAATTACATCTCTGTGGTAATGTGGTATGGCAACTTGAACTGCTGTACTTACGAACGAAGTTCTACGTTGCTGTTGATTGATTGGGAGTAAAAAGAGATAAATTCGGACCTAAATTGTTATGGGTGAAAGTCAAGCGCTTACAAAGCAAACTAGAGCTTCAATCCCCACAAGTAAAGAATAGATGATTACGAACTTGAATTCATTCTAACTTAATAACATCTATAAACATATAAATATTAAAATATTACTGAGTTCTTCAGATGCCTAGAGTGGAGTTACGACTTAATGACTTTTATCCACTGCATTTCAAGTTTGAATTCAGTTCCAGTTCGACCCCCGTGATTCTTACTTAAGTGAGGGACAATAATTTTACCCAGACTTTTCAAACCAAGCGAAGCTGGACAATGTCCAGATCTACAACCAAAATGTTAGAGGTTAAGTGATCTAACAACCAAAGTACTGTTGTATTTCGGTAACCCTATAGCATAACTGTAACTTACATATTGTCAAACAGAAAAGCTTTTAGTTGGTAAACAAGTCGAACGTAAATCCTGAAATATGAGCCACATGGGATTCCTACACTAGTTAGATGAGGTTAGAAGAATATTGCGATATTTCAAAGCCCCAGTAAATGTTTTGCGTGAAATCTCATAATTCCATCTGATCAGGCCTGCTTTTCTATTCGAAAACTGAAATTTCTGATATTAAACATTATGTAAAGACGACATACGAAGAGCTAGTGAGTTGAAGAACCTTACAATCAACCTTCTGTTATGATAAGACTTCTAAGGAATATATTAGCCCATATATAATATAGTCAGGGAAGTACGATAAGTGATGTCAACTACTACATGTTTGCGCTCAAACATTTTTGATGAAGTGTTTTAGCACTTTTAGGAATCTTAATGGATCATATCACAGGCTTTATTAAAGTCCTTAGATGGGGTGTCAACAGATAAGACATTAAGTACGGCTACAATTCAGTCTTTTCAAAGTTTATTAAGCAAAATTAGCTAACATAAAAGATGTTTTGCGAAGCGTTATGACGACTTTAGCAATAATTTAAAACAATAATTAGTCACTGAGTGACTACCCTGATTTGCTAGCCAAACTAAAGTACTTTTGTAGCATTGGAGGCTAAAAAACTTGATTCTACAGTAAACAAATAAAGTCTCTATATATAACTAAAACTTAATACTAGAATTATGATATAATACACCAACAAAATACAAAATAAAATACACCCCAACAAAACACATAAGATATAAGGTGAGACAACGGAAACAAGTAGACGAGATGACAAACTAGTATTCCTTGTTTTTAAACATGACCAATGCACGACCGGCAGCGAATTATCAGTTAACTAGTATACAAACAGAGTATTTTCTAATGATTGTTTGTATACCGTATCACATAATAGACAAATCTGAATGTGAACGAACACTATGGTCACCGAACTACTGAATGAACCTAATAACATGAATAGCATTTCCACAAATAATCATAATTGTATTTGTGTGTTCTTTGTTGGAAACAACTAGCGTACAGAATTGCTGGTATACTCATATGGGCATTCCCATTCAGTTCAGACTAAATGGAAAATATCACGACAGTATTAGCTTTTGCGAATTCAGTTAAAAACTTCTTTTAATGTGATCTTTTACGCAAACTGGAACGAAGTTAACGTTAGTATAAATATTCACTTACATAGGACGCATCAGTCAAAAAGTTTTGCTTAACCACACGAAAGTGGATAATCAATGAACTAAGACTGTCCCCAGAAGGTAAAATCAATTATCGTGACAATAACCTACTACTTTAAAGCTGCATGACTAATAAAAACCTAGGTGACAAAAGTACCTTAAGTGTAGCCGTTTTCCAACTCATGAATCAAATACATTTGATCTGAAGATCAACAGCCATCTTAGAACTCACTGCGGTGTTTAGAAACCGATCAAGGTGAATAAGTACATTCGAATGTCAGCTATAAACATCAGATCACAATGCTTTCTAGACTTGAATCCTTAACCTGTGAATGGAACTTTATGTAGTTATTTGAACGAATATTTGAATTACCCCTTCGTACGACAGGTAGCATTTATTTTTATACGATACCTGGAACCGTACCGAAAGAACAAGGATCGAGCGCGAAGAAATCGAATGGTTTATACTAGCTCGTGAAAAAGATAAACGACTGCAAACGAGTGAGGCCTGCGATGAATGAAAAATACAATTTCAAGCCCATTATTTTATTTTGACCAAGCAATTCATTGCAAACATTGAAAATAGTGGCTGACCATGTCAAAAATATCATGCTTTTCACAAGAAAATTGACTGTAAGATTAGTTTTAATGCTGAGATATGATAGGTTATTGCAGTCAAACGAACATTAAACTTAATAACACAAGATGCGACCACAAGTTACTTGTTGGTCTAACAGGTAATAATGATATCAACTCAAAACAAAAGTGGTTAAAAGTAATTGGTGTTAAAGTAGACTCGAGAGACGAGCTTACCTGCATCAAAACTCTTAAAAAACTTCTAACACAAAGAACTTAGACAAAAGGCTTATGCCGAAAAACTAGAATTGGGGCAATCACCTGCCTGGATTTGACTTAGGCGGGTTAGTGCGCTACAATGACCTCTGTCTGCTAGTCTAGATTATGCTAATCTTGTCTACTTTCATTCCGACACAACAGAAATCTCATAATTATCGAATCTTAGTCTCGTTTAACAGACAGCCCTGAGTTTGTCTCTACACATAGATAATTGTTGTCTACTACTTCCAACGCTAAATGTCTTCACGTTTGATTCATTTACAGGTTCCTTGGATTGCAGTAGTTCTGTTTCACTAACCCTAAAACTGATGCTTGATGTCCTAAATATTTCTCACTCCGTTCTTAGTTTACCACTTCGTTAGTGTTATCCAGAACTTTATGCTGATTTCCACGTTCTTTCGAACATTAGTAGGTCTACTGATTCAATATGTCGAGAATACACATCTATCTAACATCTCATATCTTAACCTCCATTTTCAAGTTATTTACCGGTGTTCAGGTGGTAAAAAGAGAACGGTTCTTCCCCTTTAAAAATATGGATGGATGAGAGGCGAAGAATGCTTCAAACGCAAAACTAAGTAAGCGAATTGCGTATGATATTGTCACACTCTATGAGCTACATGGGTTGTCAAAAATCCAGCCGAGTTATCTTGACAGACAAACTGTGTTAATCGGTATTTTATTCGACAATGCTTAACTGGTATCGCATCTCAAATACGCAATTATGGACACATGTCATGATATCTAATACAGCCATGTATAGGCAAAGTCAGCCACAACGTAGAAGACTGAATCATGATTAGCCATTCCGCAGGTAATAAATAACAAGGAATATGCAGGAATTACTACCCAAGCAATCACATACAAGTGCTAAAGTAAAAAGAACAGTTTGACCAATAACAGGAGTCTAAATCGTTATAGTATAGAAGCATTATGAAACGTAACCACAAACTTGGATAATTGCACAATCCTATAGAAAGAGACGATAAGTGTTGTGGGTATGAATCCATATAATATGTGGTGCCAGGAACCGAATCAGTGAAAAGGCTGACGATAGTGATGGATGGCCTCCATTTCTGAGCTGAAGGAGTTTATTTTGTCTCAAAAGAGACTCGTTCCTAGCCAGTTCCTGAAATTGGCGTCTCAGAGAGGAAGAGTTTGATCATGAGTTTAGTTGCCAAATACAGTCTGAGCATCAAGAATAATCTATAAAAGCAAGAAAACGTGAAATTCTCTCCGATAAGCAACCTGTTCACCAGTTTCCGAAGAATTTAGCTAAGGCTATAGAAAACAGGTGATCTCCTATGGAAAGGTCAGATCATTTATCATCTGAATAAATATGAATATCATATTGGCAAACATAAATACAGAATACAGTCTCATGATCAAGGCCCTTTTGGAAAATCATAGTTTTCTGTCGCTCAGTGACGTCCCAGCAACGAGCCTGAAGGAAGACCAACACTTCTTTTAATGTAAAACCAGACTCTAAACCATCTATCTCTAATGCTTTCACACCTGCACTTGAGCCATATCTTTATGCATGTCACAGTTAAACAGATATATTTCCACAACACTGTGTTGCATTAGGAACAACCTTCGCATCTGATTATGAATCACGAGTCGAGTATAACGATCAGAAAATTTGCTTGCTCCGACGTTGCTGTTACGGGAGGAATGAAGACATTTGGCTAGTTAAAACCTTTATATAAATATCATTAATTTCACTGTGTTTTTTGGGTATATTTGTTTTACTTAACTTATGAACTTGTTTGAGTTATTATTTTCGGCCAGTTTGGACTCATGTTTGCCTTGGTTGTTCGTTTGCAGTTTTTAGCTCCAAGAATCTATAAAATAGAAGGTAATTGTAATTATTATAATTATTGTTGTTAGAACGACATTGGTCGTCTATTTGTAATAAACAAACACATTTTGGTCGATTATTTGTGAATTGGCAATAAACTTTGGTACCTACTTTGGAGTTTCCTTTTGGTTTAATCCTTGGGATCGTGAATTGCAAATAGATCGACACACAGTGCTTCTAAGGATCAAAGAGAAAAAATTTGGACGTAACAAAAGTTCTTCTATTTTTGGTTTTTGTCATATATTGGATTCTTTTGGACGTTTTGGGTCCGGACGTTCTTCAATTTAAATTTTGGTCTTTGGAAACTTTTGGAAATTTGGGTCCAAAAGTTCTTCTATTTTATTTGGTCTTTGGATACTTTGGACAATTCAGTTTTGGTTCTTTGATCATACGCTGGATACTTTTGGACATTTGGGTCCAAAGGTACTTCAACTCTGATTCTTTTGTCGTACATTGGATAGCTTGAGGCATTTTGGCTTCAAGATATTTTGCGTCAAACGTTTGTTATTATTGGTCGAATACGTTTGGATTAATTTCACATTTGCTTGGTACTCGATTTCGAACAAAAGCAAACAATGGAAACCAGAATCAGAAAGCCGAAGGAGAATGACGAAATGGATGGTAAAATTTCTAAAGCTGTTTGTGGTATGTCTGACTTTAATGATGATAAACGTGATGATATTAGTATTAATAGTAAGTCTTCATCTCAGTTTAGTACTTCTAGATTGAGGTTAGAAAGAGCATTACTAAGGAAGAAGAATTTGGAAAAGAGACTTGAGTTAGAAGGACAGCTTAAAATGTTAGAACTTCAAGAGGAGGTTGAAATGGCCGAATTCGGATGTAAGGTCATGGAAAACTATATGGAAGTGACTAGTCATATGAGGGCGAGACATGAGGATTCTTCAAATGTGTTTACACCTACTTCACACCCGGGATTTATGAGAGTTGTTAATTGTATCAGAAAGGTATCCCCTTTTGAAAAACGAGTATGTGACCCCGATGGTTTAAAACCCCTTGATGTATATCCTAGAGAGAAGCCCGTTTGTGTAGCAGATAAGGTGGCTTTTTTGAGTATGGAAATGAAAGAAAAAGGCCAAGTTGACAGGAGATCACGCTTTAATGTAGTTAAGCAGGAACCAAGCAACTCATTCAAGGCTTTAAGTTGCGAAATTTGTTTTGGTGATCACAATTAGAAAGACTGTATGAAGTTATCAAAAATGAATGTTACAGAGAGGAGGCAGGAGGTGAGAAAACGTGGTCTATGTTACCTGTGTTTAAGGAAGGGTCACATAGCCAAGTCGTGTAACTCGGACACAAGGTGTGACGTTGATAATTGTAAGATTCGGCATAATCCATTATTACATATTGGTGCTACTAACAAACATGTATTGAATTTTGCTAAGGATTGGAAATTCTCAAAGGTTTGTTTGGGTATCGTTCCGGTTAGACTATATTGCCCCAAAGGATGTCTGGAAACATACCCTCTTCTAGATAATGGTTCAGATACCTCTATTTTATGCGAAGAGTTAGTTAATCGGTTAGGTCTCAAAGGTAAGGAGACTTCAATAAAGTTGACGACTGTGAATGGAACTTCTACTTGTGAATGTCTGGAAGTAAATTTAGAAGTATTTTCATTAGATGAGCGGGGTTCTATAAAGATCAACAAGGCCTATACGACCAAGAAACGTCCGATCGATTATGCAGAACTTTTAACCGAACTCCAGCTGAGAATGTGGAATCATTTAAAGGACATAATAACTCTCCCGAGGCTGCAAAGTAATCTGGTACGAATATTGATTAAGTGTGATGCTCTAGATGCACATTGGGTCCTTGAACAACGCCTGGGAGACAGGAAGCATCCGTTTTGGTGTGCGTACTCATCTCGGTTGGATGATTTTAGGTCCTAAAGAAGCATCGAGGTCTTTACATCAAGTTCAGTGGTGTCATTGTTCTACTAATGATATTTTGCGAGATATAGAAAGATTATATATTAATGAGTTCGAGGATGCAGATGGGCTTCGTAACGAATATTCTGTCGAAGATAAAAGAGCTCTAGAAATAGTTAATAGTTCCTTTAGACTGGAGGGTGGCCATTTCCAAGTTGGTCTACCCTGGAAGTATGATAAGCCAAGGCTACCGAATAATTTGGAACTAGCTGAACGTGGACTAGAGTGTTTAAGGAAGAGGTTTATGAAGGATAATAGTCTTCTGGAGATATATCAACTTGTAATGAGTAAACATTTAAGCAAAGGCTACACCATTGAAGCTAGTAAGGAGGAATTCGACCGTGATGCTGTTTGTTGGTATATTCCTCATCATCCTGTTATCAACCCTAAAAAGCTTGGAAAATTAAGAATTGTTTTTGATTGTGCAGCTGTCTATCAAGGTTGTTCTCTTAACGATCAGCTTTTGAGTGTTGCATGATAACGATGCTATTGACGTGCATATGTCTTGTGTCTCTGAAACGGAATATGAAGAACAACAAGTGAGTTAATCGGTTTCGATTGCGATACTGATGCTGTTCTTTCATATAGCGAGATCAGTTATACAACAAAGGAAGAGTTTCACTCTACGGATGCCAGTGTAGACAGAAACAACGTGACTTGTCTGACAGAACGGAATCATGATGACAATGATAATTATCTGGATGTGACAGATGAGTTGTCGACGATGACGATTGCTGATCAAACCTCTGTACCAGGAGATGGAGAGTTGAATATTGTTCCTATGTTATGCCACCTAGAGTCTTCGGGAGACGAGGAAATGTAAAAATTGGAGATCCCACCCTTGCATATAATCTATGGGTCAAGAGCTTCTGTTGATAAGTCATCATCACGAGCTTCATCGTATCTGCTGTTCGGAGCAATGGGTGGTGGATTGACGACTCATCCCCGTGAGGTGAAAGGTGAATCTCTAAGAGGATATGACCAGATTTACGACGTGTTGTACATGTTCTTGTGGGTTAATTGGATAAGGGTTATTCTACCGTTAGGTCATGCTAAGATAGATAGGGGAATCAAGGACCTGATGTTGAAGGTACAGGTACATAGTTAGTTTGATAGGTCATATCCATGTTGGAGGGCGGGTAGGCGTACTGCTGTAAGTCCTGCTCGTTCTTCCGGTGTGGATTAGGGGATGAGAATGAACCGTAAATTGAAGTGTTGGAAATGGCTTGTTTTGCTTAGAGGGATTTTGTGGGCCGGTGTAGAATCTATGATGAATGTTTGTTGTCGATTGCTTGTGATGCACATACTTGGATTGTTGTTACCTATTTCTGTCGGTGAAAAGAACCAAGGTTTTTTTGGTCGGGAGTGTTACGGGAGGAATGAAGACATTTGGCTAGTTAAAACCTTTATATAAATATCATTAATTTCACTGTGTTTTTTGGGTATATTTGTTTTACTTAACTTATGAACTTGTTTGAGTTATTATTTTCGGCCAGTTTGGACTCATGTTTGCCTTGGTTGTTCGTTTGCAGTTTTTAGCTCCAAGAATCTATAAAATAGAAGGTAATTGTAATTATTATAATTATTGTTGTTAGAACGACATTGGTCGTCTATTTGTAATAAACAAACACATTTTGGTCGATTATTTGTGAATTGGCAATAAACTTTGGTACCTACTTTGGAGTTTCCTTTTGGTTTAATCCTTGGGATCGTGAATTGCAAATAGATCGACACACAGTGCTTCTAAGGATCAAAGAGAAAAAAATTGGACGTAACCGTTACCTCGTGGTCATTTAGGTGTTAACACTTTACACACTTCAGCTTATATGAACCTGAATAATGTTGCATCTGCATGTATACAAAGAATTCGTGCATTTACTGTGCATTTATGATACAGGTATCGATCATGGCCTTGTTGTGAGCGATTCAAGATACCTGATTGTCAATGCTCACCACTAAATGTTCCATACGGTCGCGTCACGAAAAGCAAAACAAAATAAATCCATAGTTCAGTTGTTCATTGAAGGAGAACGTTGGCTTTACATGGGGAGCAGCAAATAGAGAAAGATGGCGGCAACGCGAAGAGAAGAAGTGTTTTTGGTACAGTTAAACAAAACGAGTACAATAATGTTTACATTTCAAAAATCGCATTTTCTTCGTAGAAGCGTTTCACTAAAGCCTAAACAATTTGAATTATTGTATCCGTATGAATGGAAATTTCATTCGTTTTCATAGTGGACTAAGTAGTCGTCCATATATGAGTCCACGTTTAAATATGAAGGTATGTAACTTAATAACTCCTCTTACTACCAACAATCACACGAAATTTGTATGTAGCAAGGGTTGACATCTTTCGTAATTTCGGTTTATGATTGATTGTGATTTATCCGAATGTAATACGCATCACGTACATAGTTCTGATCATGACAATCGACCTGAATTAAGCAGAATATTTGTAAGTGTGACCAGAAACATATAGTTACATATATTGTCCAAGTTTAAACACATTGACGTCGTAATGAGGTAGGATAATGTTTGTCAATGCACCTTTATTGAAATCAATTTAGTGTTCAAACTTTCTTAAAGGTTGGGTGCGTCCGCAATCACAGGAGGAAAGCGAATTAGACATGCAGTTGATGTCGTCAATGAAATTCCTTGTTGTGGAAAACGAAGTCTCAACTCGCTTCGAATTCTAGAACGGTTAATATTAAAGGCCGGGAATGTACGGCTCTTGTTATAGTACTGGACAAAACTGCTAACTGTCGTCAAAGTATCGATAATTTCATCAAGGAGTATGCACCACCCTATTTTGCGTGTCACATATTTTTTGCGGTCAACTAATTACTAAAGAAAATGAAAAAGTTATCTACACACGTTAGTTGTCATAAATTAGTGTTCCGTAGGGAACTTCACGTCTATATGTAAGTGAACTCGTGTGGACTTCAATAAATTGCAGAGTGAATTTTATGATGCAACTTTTGGAATGCTTTGGTTTTCGATCAATGATGAAAGGACTGACTGCGAGCTATTACGTACTGATATGCCATGTTTCCTTCCGAAACAAAAGTTATGGTCAAGGATACAAGCTCGGTGAATGAGGAGGTCAGGAACTGAGAGGTCCAAAAATATATTTGAAAAACACTCAATGAAATGAAAATATTCTGAAAATCCCTACACAGTATGATGCTGGACAGCGTTGTTGTTTCTTTGCTCTTTGATTATTTTTTTTGTTGTCAACTTTACTTAGAACACTTACAAACACGTTTTGTGATTCGCAGTCATCAGTGTTCAACGTTCGTTAGTGTTTACTTAAAATTCGAATTTCTGTTGCTTGTTGCCGAGCCACTAATAGTGAGAAAACTGAGGGAGGCGAGAAAGATTGTATTGTGCAAATTTACACTCTGAGTCAATTAAAAACGAAAACACTACATTGAACACTCTATTTGCACAACATCTTTGAGTCGTAACTTCCAACGCTCCATCCTTCTTCCATTCCTGTTGGTACTCCATTCACTTCTTGCTTTTGCTCTATTTGCTTTCGGTTTTCCTCTTCTGACCGTGAGACTTCTTCTTCCACGTTCCTTCTTATACTACTTATATCGTTCGTATAAGTAGCACACACCACAATAGTAAGATCGTATTCGACCAAACTAAAGGGTATGGAGTCCCTAATTGGATGGTTGTTGACCTTTAACTGCCTGTCGGAAACGGTTGCTTGAATCATTTTAGGTAGATATTTGATCCAATCTTGTCGATCATCAGGTACCGAACACTTATTTGTTGACCAGTCCCTCTGATATGCCTATTTGTGCGAGAATAATCTTTGACTGCGTAGAACAGGTTGCACCGTTTGAGGTAAATTTAAATGAACCTGGCTCAGCTTGATCGAATAAACCATTATTCGTTAGTGTTCATTTCAGAACAGATACTGGTTTGTCACATGAAACTGCCATACTCAGGAATGATCAAAAACAGAAACGACTGAACCAGTCAGTTAGCTTGTACACGGTCAACGTACAGATTTCAATGACAGACAGTGCCACAGGGCATCACAATCAACAGGGTCAGGGAATATAACTATTTTCGGAAGTCGAAAAGTGTGTCTTTGTCCTAGGACCTGACGTAGTGTGAATATTTAATCCATAGCCAGATCTGAAACCAGCCTAGTTTGCTCCAGACTGCTCTTCACGAACAATAGTTGGGCGCTGAAGCTAACATCTTAGACATTATATCGACCAAACTGATTGTTACAAGAGGACTTCACGTAGAATGGGACAATCAGCGATAGAGACCAGTCATATGGAATTACGTTCACTTTACAGGTCCTACCTATTTCAATCAGTATAATTGCTGAAACTGGACCATTATCCTTAAGAATCTCAGGGGTTATTCTATTAGGACATAATGCTCTCCCTCACCTTAGTTTGCCTTCAGCCAGTTCTACCTCATTAAGAGTTGGAGGACTTACATCAACTTGACATTCAGACTGGCTGGAGATGGTGGTTGAGATGTGATTAGCGCCCAGAGGGGGCAACGGCGAGTATCCCGATGTTTGCAAGTTCTTACTGTCCAGTTTTGTCGTATATTGAACAAACCACTACCTACTGAAATACAGCCTAACATTCTCAACTATGTGATTCAAAACCTCTAACCACGGACTATTGTTTTGCAGAGCCAACCACTTAGTCTAAGCCCACTAACATGGATTAGTCCAGTTGTCTGTGACTTCACGGATTTGTGCAATGTTTGTTTTGCCCCTCCTAGCTTTCTTCCATCCTATTCCTACATCAGCCAACATAGCTCGTCAAGGCAACTAATCAAGATTCGCCACTTCATAAATTGATTTTCAATTCTTACCTGATACCGTTTTCCCAACCGCACGATCTCTTACTCACTGGTCCCAAGTTATGCTTCGAACACTCTTGACCAAATACCAGTAAAGTACGAATACCGCCTATTATTAGTGATCATGTTTTCGGCTCGTATAGTGGGATGTAGCGATGAGACGTTTCTGATAAGTTGAGCGGTAGACACACTTTTCTGCTTCATTCTCTATCATTAGTTCAGGCGCCGATCTAGGCCAGCAAAGGAAGCTTTCTGATCTACGTAGATTTACATTACTGAACTGTATTTCAGCAGCTAATTTGGATATATAAACAAAAAGCCCACACAGATCGTGATTTCAGTAGAAGCAAATGATGCAAATATTTCTAGATCAGAAATCAGATAGATAAGAAAGGGTTTCATTGTGTTTTAAACATGGCATATAATAACATGTACAAACTAAGTAAATTAAACTTTTCTCAAGAGTTTTCTGCAAATTATATCACGTTATGCATTTCTTCTTTTGAATCTGCTGGACTTAAACAAATATATATTCATTATTTCGTTACTTTTTGAAGTTCATTTACAACCAACAACTCAAAACTTTACATTAGTTTGGATTGATTTTGAGGTTTTTTTGGGTGGAAAGATGACATGTTTCGTTAAAGTAGACACAAACGATGGCATTTGTTTCTTACAACAGAATGCAGGATTAGCTGCGTTTGATTCATATTCATAAGCAACATCATAGTTTACACGTGTCATGATACTCAATAAATCCAAAGTATTCCCATAACGAAGCAAGGCATCCGATAAAGCACGTATGAACCAGGATCCATTGACAGAATTACGAAAAGCGTAATAACCTTGGGTAAAAAAAGAATGGCCAGTGTGAAAACATTTAATGACTAGACCAAATTCTAATTGACGGTCAAAAGACAACATATATCATTATTATTTTGAAGTAGAAATGAGTAATGACAAAGTGAAACATACAAAATTATTTGAATCGAGCTTAGAATCGATCAGATTGGGTGGTATGGAGGTCATGACCAAACGAAAAAGCAGATAAAGATTTCAAAGTACACTCGTGGAGTTTAAACTAGTAAATCACGCCACTTTTACGAAGTTTTTTAATGGTGAAAAATCTCTGCTATGTACAGAAAAAGAGTAATAAATAGCCTCGAGAGTTTGAATTGTTTCAATTTGAAACAACTATACAGAAATCGACTGCATTTTGTAATACATTTCCCCATGGAATTCTAATTCGTTCCTTACTCCAATAAAGTTATGAGCAGTTCAAGCCGATAATATCGAATTTCATATAATTGCTTTATATTTGGTACATTTGTTGAGATGGAGAAGAAAATTCGTAGCTCAGTTGAAAGATTATGATGAAGTTTCGTTCTCTTTATTGCAATGAATGGAATGAAATTCGCAATCGATTTTATCAACGAATCAACGTTAAACAGATTGCAGTGACATCAACATCATATCTATCGCTACAGAAATGGAATTTATTTGACTAAAATTAGACAAAAAGTATTTGGAATCAAACTTTATCGGGGTAAAGATTTTATCTAATGGCTTAATAAGGTAAATAAGACCGCGTTACCCCGATTTTAATGGAGGTTATCAAACAAATTCTTATTGATAAATTACCATCAAACGAAAGTATAACATGGACGATTTTACAACTGGTGCACGCATAAACAATACTATACAACATTTGAATAAAAATTAGAATGCGAGGGGTTGAGCAATATTTGTGATTAAGTCATTCAACCTACGGCCACTTGGTCACAGGTCTGACTCTTTATACAACTACTTTTATCTAGAAGGCCAGGTAATTCCATCAGGTCTTATATGTTTTAGGTGTGATTCAATGAAAAGTACATGAAGTTACATTGGCAAGTGGTATCATAGATTATGTTAGTGTAAGTAGTAGGTTAGAATTCTTAGCCTACGTTTTTGTAGATTATTGGTATTGCCACAATACTCCACACAAATAGTACGGGATAAAACTTAGTAAACAAACCTATATTTAGTTAATGATTTAAATTTATTTTGACTAAAACCAATTACAAAAATATCGAAAATAAACTAAGAATGTAAACAAATATTTAAATTCGCAGTCATACTCAATTAATAATAACACAGTAGGACACAAGAAAAAAGCAACTTAAAATCAAAATACAATATTAAGGTTCTACTCTGACATTTATATTATTGAGTTTTTCTGTAGAATTTGGGTCTAAAAGTTAACAATTAATAGCCCCTTTTATCTGTTATATCTGTTCACGTAAAGGAAGCCAAAGAAACCGTCCACTTTGTCCTATGTAGTGTTTTTCACAATCTGAGCAATTTATTTTGTAGACGATATTTGGTTTTTCTTGCTTTGTCATTTTGTCCTTTGGTCTACATAGGATTGATTGAAGTGATTCTGTCTGTTTGTGTGCCACACGTATTCCAAATGGTTTCAGTAGTCGTGCTGTATGCTCCGATGTCTTTTATGTATGGTAGGATGATCCGCTTATTGGTTCGTATACTTGATTTCGCATCTGTTGACGATTTCGGTTGATGTTTTTTTGATGAAGTTGCGTGGATAGCCGTTCTTTTGGAAGATAGTCATAAGATGCTTCTCATCGTTTTCTAGTGCTTCGTATGTGCTGCAGCGTGTCTTCGCTCTCTTGAACAAAGTTTGTATGCAGTTGATTTTGTGGGTTCTTGGGTTGTTGCTACCGTAGTTGAGAATTACGTCTGTGTGGGTGATCCCATTGGTGTCCCTTTCGTTTGTTCGTAGTGCTAGGGACGTTATATCCCCAGAACTCGCTTGATAAATGTCTTAATTTTGGATTTTATTCATGGGCTGATCAGTTGACCTTGAGATGTCATTTCTCACCAGGAGAATCCTTGGCTGTGATTGGTTACTGTGTTATTTTAGTGTGCTAGTTTTGTGACTCTCCCAAGGACGCTTCTACGATGTATAAATAAACATGGTTTGTGTGCTTGATTTCATTGTTTTGTTCTCGTTTATCGACTGAGGTGAACCCGTAATGGTTTCAGACATAGCAATTGACGAGCATAACATGTATTTCCGATTCAACAACAGAGTCTAAGTGTCCGGGTAGGCTACTCTGATCCGTTCACCCAAAGGAACTAACGATAGTCTTGATATAGCTTAGAAAGTGTATTCTACAAACTCCCAGCAAGCACAATGAATCAAGCATACAAACCATGTTTATTTATACATCGTAGAAGCGTCCTTGGGAGAGTCACAAAACTAGCACACTAAAATAACACAGTAACCAATCACAGCCAAGGATTCTCCTGGTGAGAAATGACATCTCAAGGTCAACTGATCAGCCCATGAATAAAATCCAAAATTAAGACATTTATCAAGCGAGTTCTGGGGATATAACGTCCCCAGCACTACGAACAAACGAAAGGGACACCAATGGGATCACCCACACAGACGTAATTCTCAACTACGGTAGCAACAACCCAAGAACCCACAAAATCAACTGCATACAAACTTTGTTCAAGAGAGCGAAGACACGCTGCAGCACATACGAAGCACTAGAAAACGATGAGAAGCATCTTATGACTATCTTCCAAAAGAACGGCTATCCACGCAACTTCATCAAAAAAACATCAACCGAAATCGTCAACAGATGCGAAATCAAGTATACGAACCAATAAGCGGATCATCCTACCATACATAAAAGACATCGGAGCATACAGCACGACTACTGAAACCATTTGGAATACGTGTGGCACACAAACAGACAGAATCACTTCAATCAATCCTATGTAGACCAAAGGACAAAATGACAAAGCAAGAAAAACCAAATATCGTCTACAAAATAAATTGCTCAGATTGTGAAAAACACTACATAGGACAAAGTGGACGGTCTCTTTGGCTTCCTTTACGTGAACACTAGTTAGCAGTCAAATGCCATGTCAACAACAACCAATCAAGATAGAGGTTAGCAGAACAAGCTGCAGGTCAAGCGTGGAGAAATCCGAATACTTCACTTCCATCTGAAGTTTGTGCTGATGATGATGCTATTTAGAAGAACAATGAAGGCTCCACACCCAAAACATCCAACTCAGAGAACGAAACACCACCATAAGATGCCTACTCTCAAATTCTAGCAGGTGTCATGTAGACCGAATACAAGAACCGATAGTATATATGAAAAGATTTCCGAAATCAAAAGACTTTTATAATGCTTTGAAACCAATATCATTCAGAATCTAAAAACATTATTGCATCCTGTTTCAGTCAGTCAGTCACAACGTAGAACTTCGTACATAAGTACACAAGTTCAGGTTGCCATACCACATTAGCACAGAGACACAAATATCAGTTCAAATCGCATAGTGATAGACAGCAGAAGTATTAGCAGTAATAGAGAAGATTAGGGTTTGAAGAAATTATTCAAGAAGTGTAATTCAGAGTAATAAATTTAGAAACAGATAGAGGTTATGAAGAGTTCAGAAGATGAGAATATGAGAGAACACATCATCCCGTATAATGTAGATAGAAAGACAGCACCAAAGGAAAACAAATTCTACATCGTCTACACTATAAACTTCATAAAATGCTCGAAGCACTAAACTACAGCAATGTGAGCAGTGACTTGGCCAACACATAATTGAACACACTAACAATGAAACAATATGGTGTTAACACTGATATCACTGTACGCAATTATTTGATTAGTAAACCCTCAAAAATCTATTAGTCCCAAATAAATCTAACAGACAAGGCATTTATACTAATGAGTAATTTGTAAGCATATCGACACGAATCTAACCTATAAATCCACTCGAAAAGGTCACTCAATTACGTGGTCATGAAAAAATTAGACGAGATTGTCGATTTGAATGCAAGGACAAAGAGAATAAAATCAAGCAGGATGGCCGAAAACGGATAAGGTCATCAGGAATTGACGTCTGTGGTAAAAATGAGAGACTCATATATTTACTACACTTACCTGAGAAATAAGCTTTACAGATAAAAGTGTGATAGACAAAGGTACAGATGTAAGTAGGTTGATTCCAAGATAACCAATCTCTAGACTACTTAATCTTGGTCTTATTTTGATTGCACAACATAACAAAGATTAAGTGATAAAAAATATTATAAATCAGTAGTATAAGCTAAGGAAAAGAAATACCCGGTTGAACTGCATAGGCGATGAGAAGATCCGCCTCAACTGGAATTCGTCTTATTGTTGTCGCAGCGTCGGCAGACTTACTGTTAGACAGAGATCCATCACAAACAAATACACCATCATCGAGTGCCATTCCACGACAAGCCTAATAAAAATTACAAACGGCTACTCTCAAACATCATTCAGATAGTGAATTACATTAATAATGGAACTGAAGACTAGAAAAAAAACTATGAATCGTGGCTAATAGGCTGAAAAAGATATATCAATCTGAAGTTGTCATATCTCACATTAGCAAACCGAAAGAGGAAGTTGGTAAGATGAAATACAAAAAATGGAGACAATAAAATTGAGTGATAGGAAGCTTAACACAAGAAACAAAGTTCAAAAGAAATGAGTAAAATTATCAGATGGCACTATTGTAACCAATGTTGAGCTGTCTTTATCGATTATTGAGCAATTATTGAGCAAGCTACAACTAAAAACTCCATATTATTTGCAAAGCTCGGATCGCGAGCCTACTTTTTTGCCTACTAGCTTAACACGATAGATATCACTCAAAGTATTAAGACACTAATTTAGATTGTGAACAAACATTTAACAGATTCGAGAACCAGCTGATATTTCTAACACACGATGATGAACTTCTTGAATTCACAATTAACTATCAATAACTAGTACAAACGCATTATTGATAGTGACATCTATACTGCACCTCTATACTGCCAGAAATCAATCGATTTAGCATAGAATGAGAGATGAAAAACATTTCACTTTACAAAGATTACAATGTTTTGCCATTGTTGAAGTTTGACAAGAAATCAGAAACAAGATAAATACAGAAACTATTAGAGTAGCTCTTAAACAAAACAGAAGTTGGAATGATATGAAAGGAAATAATATAAGCTTTACACAACGGCAGCAAATGAAGTAGAACCACAAAGGTATTAGTTGAGCTGAAACAGACAGGATTTAATACACTTCTGCGACACGAATGAATAAGATATTGCTATTAATTGTATCAAAATGTAGTTTACATCATTGACCAGTAAGCTCGATTGACCGATGCATAATAAAGTTATCTGTTTGTAATTTATCCTAAAAACGAAATCGCGTCCTATGTGAATTGAAATTCATCGGAAATAGATGGCTGTCACCTTGTTATTTATTGATATTGTATGTATAAATGATAAAAACGTCACTAAGATCACAAAAAATACATATTTCATCTATTTAATAAGAGAAAACATGTAACATCACAATATCTCTTGATAGAATAGTGATAAATTCTACTGAACACATTTACGTCTTTTGTAACAGGTACATGCTGCTGACAGAAAGATATCAAGATAGGAGAGAAACATATGAAATAACTGTATGGATGGATAGACTATTGGTTACTTTGTGACTATCTTCATTTCTTGTTATTTATTTATCTATCAGATAAGCAAATGTTACTTGTTGAACATAAATGATGGCATTCACTCTCTAAAACATTCAGTCAGTTACTTTGTAGGTTTGTTTTTGCATATGTATCGAACTATAATCTGGTGAATCTTTGAGCTATCAACAATACATTCCTTCTAGCTTTGTTTTTTTTAATATTCAGGGATTAGATGGTTACTTAACTAGCTTTGGCTTGAATAGTCTGACACCTTTAGCAAATATAAAACAAGTATAGTTTGAAACTTACCAAACACACGTGTATTTGGTTACAGCATCACAAAATAACAAATTTATCCAGTAACACAAAATATAAAAGTCAGAAGAAATTAAAAGTTGGTACGACCAAAATAATGTTTAGTATTAAGGTGATAAAACGAACAGTTCCATACCTCTTATATTCCTGGTGGATTTCCACAAATATATAGTTTTATATAACTTAGTTAAGAAACTAACCAATAAGCAACCAATATTCCCTCTAAATATGCCTAATCTTTTTCTAGAACCATCATAGATTAATACTCATAAACTGAATGTAAATAATTAAAGAGGACATACTTGGATGAAAAATAGTTTTGGCTTGCCTCTTAAGTCTGGACATTGATCTCCGCGAAATGGAGCAATGATACGATCTACGGGAACAGAACCGTCTGTTGCATATATTAAGCCACCCTCATCACCATGAGAAAGAATAACACATGCAAAGCAATCATGGTCACGAAGATTTTGAGTTGAGACTGAAAGTATAAAATCTTAATAAATATATCCATAAGTCACAGATAAAAGTATAACACTGAATTGAGTAACTTAACTACCTTAGAATAAGTTTCCTTACTATAGTAAAAACCGTATTGCATAGACTGAAAAGTGTATTCCGTCTGCGTTTTGAGAAACGCATCTAGACTCTAGTAATTAGAGATGCTCTTACTGATTTGGATGGACATTGTATGGTATTAGAGTCTGTTTTATTATTTCAAAGCTTTAATTTCAAAACAAATGAAAAACATTATTGAAATTTCGCAATCTGGTTTGAACAGTTTTATCAATGTCATTATGTATTCATTATAGCATAATAGAAGATATGTGGGACTTAATAAAAAGTGGATGAGAAAAAGATTATGTCCATCGGAATGTTGCTTCAAGACTGGGTTGCATCGGCACCTGAACTAGTGATAGGGAGTGAAGTAGTCGAGCGTGAAGACCGCTTCACTTATCTTGGGAGTCTCATCAGTGCTGACGGCCTGGTGACTGACGAAATCTCGGCACGGATACAGAAGGCTCGATTGGCTTTTGCCAACCTGCGTCACTTATGGCGTAGGCGAGATATCCGTTTGCTGACTAAAGGACGAGTGTACTGCGCAGTGGTTCGCTCCGTCTTACTTTATGGCTGTGAAACATGGCCAATGAGAGTAGAAGATACTCGTCGGTTATTGGTTTTCGATCATAGGTGTCTTCGAAGCATTGCTCGTATATCGTGGGACAACCGAGTGAGCAACTCTGTTATTAGGAAACGGGTACTAGGTAGGAATGGCAGATCAATCGATGAAGTGGTGAAACTTCATCAGTTGAGGTGGTTGGGACACGTGTTGCGTATGCCTAACCACCGACTGCCTCGTCGAGCTTTGTTTTGTAGTGTAGGACTAGGTTGGAAGAAAGTTAGGGGCGGCCAAACCAAAACATGGCAGAAATCCATGAAGTCATTGACAAGTGGACTGAGCCATGTCGGTAATTGTCGACTACCTGGTTGGGGTCCGCGAGATGATAATAATCGATGGTTAGAGACCTTGAATGACATGGCTCAAAATCGTTCGCAATGGCGCCGGTGCATTTATTCTTTGTGTTCTCTCAAACCCTAATCTCCTGGATTCTTCTACACCTCTAGTTTCGACTCTCTAAACTTATCTCATTGAATCATACTTCGTGAATAATAATTCTAACCTCTCCGATTACTTCTAATACCTTTACTACCTCTTCTACTATTGGATTTAAATTGACAATTACATCTCTGTGCTGATGTGGTATGGCGACATGAACTGATGTACTTACGTACGAAGTTCTACGTTGCATCTGACTGACTGACTGTCCATCGAAAAAAAATATGGCCTACGGGATGAAGTATCTAAATTAATTTTGTGTTGATATAATGAATATAATGAAATCGTTGTGAAGGTGCTCTTATAATAATGGATATCTTTTGAATGAGGCCTACATATATTTTGCTGAAGATGGAATAAAGCGTTTATCAGATTTCGAAAAATCACTGTCATTTTTATTTTTATTCGTTAATATCTTATATTTTATAGTAGGGATTTACAAATAATATTTTTCGACATTTCAGTATATTGTTTACAATGCTAAATACACTACCCAAATTCTTTTGGGGTCATCAAGTAGAAAACCGACCAAAGACACAGAGCAATATACTGTTTTTTGTCTAAAAGCACACGAAATAGTTAGTTCACTGACACGAAAAAGTTATGAAAATTACTTATCAGTTATACAAAATCATCCAAATAAATATAATTCACAATTTATAAAAACTAGACTTACTCTGAAAAACTTACTTATTTGAATTAGAGACAATAAGTTTTCGGCCGTCGGATTTGAATGCACAATGACTTTAAAATCGAGGCTTACAAAAGCTGTCTTAATATTTTGTATATCAACCAAAGAGCCATTTCTTGGTGGCAAACAAAGAATGGGATCAAATTTATCAACTGAAAAAACAACACACAATCCACGCTCAGCGCCATCTGTGCGATAGGTATACGAAGGACTTTTTTCTGCAGGCATACTGAATACGGGTAATAAAGAAGTACATGAAACAGAACACCTTAGTGAATTGCCGAATGTCTTATTACTAGGTTTGTTTTGTGGGCTATCACAACTTAAACTTGATCTCGTTTGAGATAAAGAGTGCTCTTCTACGACTGACCGATTCCTGAAACATTATCAACTTAGAATTACAGCATTACGTATTACAACTATCCACATCATCCTCCATCACTGTCTACGCTAAAACCTAAATCATGTATTCAAGAAATATAAAAAAAGACATAAAAACAGTTAGTCGATAGAAGTGAGAAATATACAAGTAAAATAAAAAGTAATTACTGTTCATGACAACTGTATTTGATATATTTACATATTTTGTGAGTACGATAATGATACTTTCAGTGGAAAATAACTTTAGACGTTACTAATTGACGTTAGTAGTTCTCACCAGTATAACTAAATAGGGGCACGAAGAAGTAATGGTAAATTAACGTTATTACTGAATTCTTACAGGGTTTATGAAAGTAATGGATGTTTGATTATATATTTTCTTGAATCTGAACCTAACTGATATGAAAGCTGCAAAGCACTATCTGAATAGACAGTGTAATAGACAATCAGTTCAATTGGTAGCGCTAAGCTGATTCAGGTTTAAAAACTTATGGTATTAAATGTAAAAAAATATTTCAATAACAATTAACATATGAATCATAGTGACAATACAGTTAGAAAATTAAGGACGATATAACTAAATCGTTTGCTCACTAATTTACCTCATCAGTTTTAAAAACCAATCTATTTATACAGTCCAAATACAAAGCAATAAGTTTAATAAGATGAACCATGAGGAAAGTCTAAATCCTTTGTTCTACCAATTATACAAAATAATATTAGATCTATATATTTATTATCCGAAAGTTATCTCACGTCAATTCGTAGGCTTAGATATCTGGTTATAGAACTGCCAGATCTCTATGGTCAATAATGCTACATAAGATTGAAAGTGAGAAATTACTGTATAAAGACCTATACAGCTGTTTAATAATATACTAACATACCAACGCTGATGCGAAAAATTGTGATTAGTCGCTCGATAGCCTTACAAGTAGCTTTTCCGAATTATTTCTAAAATTTCATTGTTCCGAATAATATGACATAACGTTTAGAATGTTCTTAACGACATTCAAATAAAAATGGATTACAAGGTTACCTGAGTGTGTTGTTAGTAAAGTACAGGTAAAATATTAAGGTTTATTTTCCAAGCAGCAAAAGTATTCCTAAAGCTGATTTAACTAAGTGCTAAGGTGTAACAGTCCATATTTATCTGAAAGGTACGTTTTGTACTAAAGGAGAATGCGAAGCAGTTTGACAAAAGCATAGAATGAGAAAAGTAAGCCAAAAGCTCAGTAAGCACATTGAATACATTTATACCTGATAACAAATAACAATGACGCAGTTATAAGACTACGTTAAGTAGAAGATTAAAACTAGGAGGTATAGCAAGATTTTGAATCCACTAGACTCCCTAACGCTCAGATTTAGAACACTGGTTATTTTAGGAACAGCGAAACAACTTACAGTTTGTTTGTCCGGGTTTTTTTCCAAACATGTAACTAAATTTACCCGAAACTCCCACGTAGCTTGAGACACAGTTAATCGAAGACAGAAAATCTCAGGACAGTTATTCAGTTGGGATTTTCTCCTAGAAACTACCCAAAATATCCACTGACCCTGGGAAGATCCTATATGACTTACCACAAGTCGTCTGGTGAATTCGGTAGGAATAATGCTAACGTTGCGGGTGCGCTAGCAGATGAAAAATTTTACGGTCAAGTTGTAAGTAGTGGTCATTATTTCACCTCACGTGGAAAAAATGTTTAGTATACTTGAGTAAGACTCTCATAAGACTGAAAGACTATTACTAGCGTAGGTTCTGTCACAACTAACCACTCAGTATACACTGCATAGGACGAAAAGGTAGTCATGAATTTAGCAAAGACTACTGACTGAGTCTTATGGTCTGAATTTTAAATTCAGCCAATTGGTGAGAATAACGGAGGAAACTAATACCTCGTCTCACGTTTACTTACGAAATGCAGGATACAAAGTATATGATCGGAAATCGATGAAATGTACATATAAACTGACTAAAATGTTTTGTGTACATAAATACGAAGAATACACCGATCTGCTTGTAGTCATAGATATTGAAGAATCTACCCCCATTACGTTCACTAGCTTCTGTTTAAGTTTGGTCAATGATGTAGAGCTTGAAAAATAGCAGTAGTTGGCAGGTGCGCTATGATCAAAACCCAACGTTTGCTAAGATAACTAGTAGAAAATTATTCAGGCTCATGTTTCCACGAAAGCAGTTACTAGGAGACAAGAACCCTAATAAGGATACTAGAAACCTTTTGCACTTACAGAAAAGCGTTAGCAAGAGTACATCAAAATTTATGTAAAATCGACCAATTTTGTCCCAGAAATGGGAGCTTGAGTTTAAGAACAGTACAACAAATATACGGGTCGAAGACTCAGTAAGCACACATGATACACTTACACTTAATAGTAAAAGCAATCAGAAACACTCAGAGGTAAGGCAGCCATGATAATAAGATAGTATGACAACAAAAACTGAGTGTTGAGCCATCAACGACCGGAGTGCAACATGACCAAAGAAATCAAATCCACCGCTTAAAATAAAATAAGGGTATCTCGCTGAATTACAACTAGTTTTCCACAAGTATGAATGAAGTATTTATCTGTACCGAATTAATTCTGGATTATGTACAACATGAAGGAGTATATATTAGGGTTTTTGAATTTGACGAGAGAGCAGAGGAACACCATGTCGGCGACCTTAAGTGATTTTGAGGATGAGAGTAAGATCACCCAATCAAAATTAGCCTAACTAAATGAAGCAATCCTGTGAGAGTCTTGAACAATATAAAAATGAAAAATTATAGGGGCCTGAATGTTTTAACACCATCTCTGAACTCAGTGTTGAGAAATGTCAGCAAATTAGGGTGGGGATTGCAATAATAGAATCAAGAAGAATTTACTGAGCAGCAGTTCGCTCCGTCCTACCATACGGGTGTGAAAAATGACGACTTATAATAGCAAACATTCCTAAGTTACGGAACTGTATTTCAGTATTGTAAATCTACGGAGATGGGAAAGCCTTCATTGGTGGCTTCGGTCGGTGCCTGAACTATTGATAGACAGTGAAGTAGATGGGTGTGACTTTCGCTTCACTTATCACAAGATTATCATCGCTACATCACACTATACGGGTTAGAAACATGGTCACTACTAATAAGAGACATTCGTAGGTTGCTGGTGTTCGATCAAGTGTGTTAGAAGCTTTGCTCGTATATTCTGAGATCAGTGGGTGGTGAATAATGCGGTTAGGAAAAGGTTACTAGTTAAGGGTAGGAAATTAAATGATCAGGTAGTGAATCTTGATCAGTTAAGGTGGTTGGGACATGTGTTCCCTATGCCTAACTATAGTCTGCCCCATAAAACATTGTTGTCTGATGTAGGGGCAGGAAGGAAGAAGACCGGGGGATGGCCAAAACAAAAACTTGTTCAAATCCACGAAGTCACTGACAACTGGACTGATCCAAGTTAGTAAGTGTAGACTAAGTAGTTTGGGTCTGCGAAACAATGATAACCGGTAGTTAGATACTTTGAATTGTTGGAAATCTCTGGCAGGAAACCAGTAGGTAGTCGTATGGGCACTGACCAACTAAACGGTACAGTAAGAACTTGCAAACATCAGGACATTCGTCGTTGTATCTACTAGCCGCTAGTTACACTCTAGTTAACCACCACCACCGAATAACCTAAATGGCAAATTGATGTAAATACCTAAATCATAATGAAGTTGAAAATGCTAAAGGCAAATTAAGGTGTGGAAAGGTTGCAGGTCCTGCAATTTCTAGGTATGACGGTCCAGTCAACATTCAACAATCATGCAGAGAACGATGCTGTATCATTGACTCGGCAACAGAAATTAGAATTATAAAGTAGACATCAATTAACGTCGAACGCCGGTGAATTGAATCACAAAACGTGTTTGTAAGTGTCCTGAGTAAAGTTGAATACAAAACATGATCAGAGAGCATACAAGCAACAACACTGTCTGACAAAACGCTGTGGTGGGATTTTCAGGGTTCCCTCTTTGTTGCAAACGCTCTTTATCAAATTTAATTTTTACCGCTCGGTTTATGACTTCTTTGTTCACTTAGGTTGTATCCTTGTGTGGTGTTTGAATGAACTAGTGACTTCTTGGTTGTTGTTGAATGCTTGATTTCGAATTCTAAATACAGTACATTCGTTTGTGCTCATCTCGTAGTTCTTGATTCTAAAATACAAATACTTCTAATTGTCGTACCTTGACTATAAGGTTTATTTGTTTCGGAAGGAAGCACTGTCAGCCCCTAGTACACGTACTATATCAGTACGAAATAGCTCGCAATCCCACATTTCATCACTGATCGAATACAAACTCATCCTAAATGTTGCATCTTAAAATACACTCTGTAGTTTATGGAAGTCCACACGAGTTCAAGTATTCTCCCTGATGAAATTATCGATACTTTTACGACAAACAACAGTGTTGTCCAGTACACTCCTCGCTTCCAATAATAACCGTTTTAAAATTCGATGCAAGTTCAGATTTCGTTTCCCACAACGAGCGATTTCGTTGGAGACATCAACTGCATGAGTGATTCGTTTTCCTTCTGACACCTCTCAGACACCCAGACTTTCAGAAAGTTGGAACATGAAATCGATTTCAGTTAAGCTGTATGTTTCTGGTCACACATAAAAATACTCTGTTTAATTTAGGTCGATTGTTACGATCAGAACTATGTACGTGATGCGCATTGTATTTGGATATATCACAGTCAACCATAAGCCTAAATTACGAAAGATGTTAATTCTCGCTACACACGAATTTCCTGTGATTGTTGGCAGTCAGAGGAGTTATTATTAAATTACATACCTTCATATATCAGCGTGGACGACTAGTTAGTTCACTATGAAAACGAATGCACCTTGCATTCATGTTTATAAAACAATTCAAATTGCTTAGGCCATGATCGATACCTATATCATAAATGAACAGTAAATGCACTAACGTCAGAGCAAACAAGCGTTCTGATCGTTATACTCGACTCGTGATTCGTAATCAGATTGGAAGGTTGCTTCTAATCCAACACAATTTTGTGGAAATATGTAGGTTTAACCAGGACTTGTACAAAGATAAGGCGCTAATGCAGGTCTAAATGCATTAGAGATAGATATTTTCGACTCTGGTTTTACATTATAAGGATTGTTCGTCTTCCTTCAGGCACGTTGCTGGTACGTGACTGTGCGACAGAAAACAATGATTTCCCTATGGGCCCTGATCAGGACAGTGAATTCTATATTGACAACAATCGAAAACAATCATCAATATGTAGTCACAAACTCAGGTCTGTCTATGAAACGAAACCAAAAGGCGATAATTATGGGATTTAGATTGAATCGGAACTAAGTTATACAAGATTGGCATAATCTAGACTATCAGACAGAGGTGAGATTATGCCACAGACTTGCCTAAGACAAATCCCATGATCGGTTGGTAGTAGTCTAGTCGGCTGATTGCCCCAAGTCAAGGCATAGGGCATAGGAGTTTTTCCGTACATAGTTCAATATTTCGACAGAATTATTGTAATACCTGCTTTATCGGAAAATGGTATGCTGCATCGATTGTGCGAGACGATTTTGGTCAAGCTCAATTATTCCGAATCAACTGTAGTATGGGGTAATTCATTGTGATTCTCTTCCTTCTATTCGATGCAATTCTTTAATGCACACTCTGTGAACTCTGATCACTAATTATCGCGTGTTTCTTATCTGGTAAATATGGCTTATTGTGGAAAATTCGTACGATCCGATTCTGGATTACTGGAATACCTCATGAACTTTTTTGCGAATCACGTATATATATGATTATTTCATCTTTACTTACAGGCAGACTGGAAGAATGCCATCATAAAGCCTGTCTCCAAAACAAACACAAAATATCACGCTGGTTTTTAAACTTGCAAGACTTCTCAGTGAGGTTGTGATGATTTTGGAAATTTAAAATTTTATACAAATGTTCAGATACCAGCACGAATAAAGGGTTGTTTTTGAGAAGCAGTCCGACTTTAGAACAACCTATTAATATCTCATAAGGTTCGTGTATTTATAGATGCTCGAGTCGAAAGACTACGAAAATGTCTATATAACATTTAAGGTCGGGCCTGAATATTTATTCTTAATCTTCTATCGGACGGAAGAATACGGGATGGATCCAATAAGACGGGTGTATTTGCTGGCGATTTCATGGCATCGAAGAAGTATAGGAAAGCATCGGAAGATAAGCGAAGACACCGAGAAAGAAAAACAACATGGCAACCTCACAACAGTGTAATGTTAGTATATATATATATATATATATATGTAAAGTGGAAAAATTATTGAGTAAGACAAAATTACGAATAAGCGAATCTGCAGTAAAACGCACCTTGGTTATACTGATGAGTGTTGCTATATAACCAATCGTGTTTTTCTTCGTCTAAGTAATATTACTACATACTCTTAAGTATTAAAAGCTCTGGCGATCCCAAAGCGGCTGTACTGAGATAGAGTTGTTAATTTTAAACTATTTCCCTTGCCACATTATAGGGTAGTGCTAGATTTGATCACAGTTTTAAATTACTGATTGAGAAGTTTTCAGATGATACACCCCCACTGATTTCGTCTTCCGAAAGAATTCAGGGGGACACCCTCAGAAGTTTTAAATGTGAGAAAAGTCAACTGGTCAGCAGACAATCGAATTTCCCATCGAATAGTCAAAGAAAAAAACTTGTTACCTCAAGACGTGCGTAATAAACCGTCAGTGGATGATTTCAAAATAAAATTTGAGCAGCTGAGAGACCGAAATTACCAGTCCTAACGCAGAACATCTAGCCTTCTATCTTTTCCAAACTTACACGTACCTCTGTTTAAGAATGTTTGCGAATGAACAGCAAATCTTTCTAATCAAATATATTTTCGAGCTAAGCATCTAATTTCAACCATTTGACGTTGTCCTGATATACTCTTCTTTTTCTATTTTAATTAATTTTTATTCACTTATTGATTATCCGTCTTCATTGAGAAATTGTTATCATGATTTGCAGACTTTGAAGTTTGTTGTGCATATTTTGAACACTGTCGATACAAGGTCAACTATGCCGAAGTAGGTTTACCTGACAACACATTCTTTATACTTAGGTACTATTGTGATTACTGTGATACCTATTTAACACATGATTCCCCATCCGTCAGAAAAACGCACTGTGGTGGTAGAAATCATAAGGATAATGTAAAAGAGTATTATCAAAAATGGCTGGAGGAACAAGTACAAAGACTAGTAGATCATACATGTAAGTTGTGTATTATTGATAAGTTTTAATCTGAACCTTTTTAGCTGAAGCATACAAGCAGGGAAAAATGCCACCACCATTATTTGGCGCTGCAGCAGGAATACCACCTCCTGGGCTCGGTTACCCTCCCCGCTATCCTCCCATGATTGGTGTTCCAGCTGGTTTCAGACCACCTCATCCACTAGTTCCTCCACAGGGCATGATCATTCCACCAAGACCACAGATCCCATGGCCCCAACCAGGAATTGCAGTCCCACCAACATACGCTGTACCACCGCAATAAAAACAACGATCGTTCTCTGTTTTAATATATACAGTCAATATATAATCATCTAAAACTTAGTTGTTTTTTGAAAAAGATATTTTATTGATCAGTTTTTGGTAAAGTTTTCTCATCTATTCCATTAAGGACGGGGAATTTATGATTTTCTATGATTTACCTTTTTCGAGGAATCCTTTCCGTATGAATAGTATCACAATTTCCCTCCTTATCTGTTCTGATAAAATGGATCATGTAACTAGTATGCACTTGTTAATACTTTATGGGGCGAATATACATTGTTGTTTGGAAACCAAAATCTATTTTGCGCCTCATAATATAAATTTTGAAACCCCTTCGTGCTTGTATTCCGTCTTCGTTACTGTGGATAAGCAGTCCAAAGACATTGGTCCTCCCAAATTTTAGTAGTGTAGAGATCCTATACCGCTTAGGGTATAATTAAGAAATGTGATAATATCACGTGTTTTCTTAGAGAATCTTAATAATTCTCTACTCGTGAGAAACAGAATTCCAGATAAAAACAAATCGGTCGTGGATCTTTAACTTTTTTGAAGTGTCCTTACAGATCATCAGTTCTACATGAGAGAAAAGGATAAGACAACAATGTCAGAACATTGTTAAGTATATAAAAAGCCAGTATCAAATCACCTTAGCCTATGGTAAGAGATTGGAAATAGGTTGGGTCTCCGTAAGATTGGTCATTGAGACCTTCCACCACTTTTGCCCCATTTTGCTGGAATCGTTCCACCATATACTCAACTCGCTTGTTATGAATATGGCCTCTTTATTTTTGGGTATAATACCTTGGACATTTTTTTAAATGATGAAATAACTTACGAATAGCTCATATAACCCTAAAGCCTTATGCTACGACCTCACAGTTCCTAGTAGTTATCAGGTCGTTGCTAATTATAACTGCTAGGTGTTTTGGACTCGTTATTTTAAGTTATAGCATTTCTCTCATCAATCGTTTTCCACCCATTCATCAAATAAACCAGTGAATTCAAGTTTTCCTGTAATGTTATCCTATCAGTCATGCCATGCATGGGTTTCCAGGTCTTAATGTTGTCAGCAAAGTGTAGAGCAGATGAATTAACGACAGTCGGTAGGTCGTTTACATAAGGTAAAAATGGGCCAAGAACTGTGCCGCGAGGAACTTCACTCTGCGCAGATTCTCAGGATAAAGCTTCGTTTGGCTGTACGTGATGCCTTCATCAATGGGAAAATTACCCAGTTTCCAATTCCATAAAAGTATCCTAGTTTTGATTAAAGACTTTGTTAAAGGCCTTACTTAGAAATACGGAAGTCACATCTGCTAGAATATTACTGTCTTTCGTTGCAGTGCAGTCCCTTGCATTGGGAAAGATTGCCAAATATGAAAAGCCTTCCCGAACACCATGGAATAACATGATTTAAGGGTCATTTCTTTCGACACAGTTTAGAATAGGCTCCCGAACAATCCTGTTTTCAGGCGTTCCTAGTCTTAAAATAAGTGAATTTGTGATGTTCAGAGTCTATAGGGATAAACACATTAAAATGCGTTTTACTACGCTTATAAACTTTCCTAACATCTTTAGTTAAACATAGTGACACACTAAAAAGTTGTCACTTCAAACTTTTCCGAGATGGCTAGAGTTTCATTTCGTGTATGGTTACATGTGTCCCGATGAAAGAGACTTGACCTCTGAGTATGTCAGTGAGTGAAGTTTTTACCTCAGACTGGGTCAGAGTATCAGATAATGACGTGCTGAATCCTATGGCTAGGGTTTTAAGTTTTCTGATTGGTATAGAGAAGTAAGAACATTTTAAACTTTTCCGTTGTAAACTACTTGATTAACAGTATGGTAAACATGGAAATTCCTACTCCCCCCTAATCTAAATGACAACTATCACTTATGCTCTAGACTTTGTTGATTGTTATCATATATATACATTAATTTAATAACAAATATTTGGTTTTCAAACTATCAAGCACTCAAACCTGTCTGGTATTTGAGAAGCAAATCGTTTTGAAATCATAAAATGAGTTTGTCAATGATATATATAGATATATTTTGACAGGTAAAAATAAGATAGTCTATTGAAATTATTAAAATATGTGACTTTGTAATCAGTTCACATGATATGAACAAAATGCTCGACTTTTGATTAATAAAAATAACTGTAAATCTTTTTAAAAATGTACAACTAATATTTTGTGAAATACAGAAAATAATATACCGACTAAAAATCCGGTCAAGTTAAATTAAATGCTATTTACAAAAACCAAACAACATATGGGATTTTTTTTAATAAAAATTCAAAAGCCAGAAATGCTGAATTCAGTAAATCAATACCAAGATAATATCCATTGGGTTTTTGATTGTTTAATACATGTCCTTCAAAAATGATTCACTGTTGTACTCTATTTTACACATCAAAACTTAATTTCCTGTCTTTAAAAATAAGCTTATATTAATTTTGTAAATTATCCAATATAGAACTAAGCATAAGATCTTCAGGAGTTGTAACAGCACTGAAATATTCATCTTTATGCGTTGAATTGTTCTCATGCATTTGCATTACATTTTCATCTTGGTGATGTGCAAAAGTTATACTGAGACAATCAGAAGGTATTGGCATACCTAAATTGAAATAAAGTAAAGAAAAGTGGTAGCTAGCTAGATTTTATTTGAATTGTACTTTAAACTGACAGATACAAACTGATTTGGATCAAAGTGGAAGCATATCTTACCGACCGTAGCTACTACCCTGACATTGCCTATCGTGATGACCCAAGCGAGCTATATTGGCTGGCAATCCCGTTCTTTCAGGTCGTACTATGCCAGGTAAGTCGATGGGAGAACGATGAGACTAAAAGCAGCTACTTAAGGTCTGAGGGCTGAGTCGTACTGCCGACTGTAAAGAGATGTGACAACAGTAAGGTGTTTCCCTCGAACAAACAGCATCTGTAGCGGTGTTGCCTTCTCACAAGGAAGGCCATGCGTGAACGGCCCCAAGCAGTTGTCCCTTGGGCTCTGCGGTTCTCTATAACCAACACTAATCCAACTTCTCTTTCAGGCTCCTCAGGAAGTGTCCTTCCACGGTGTGGGCAGCCGGGAATTGACATCCGCCCTCATACCCGTAACAGCACACGAGACAAAACTGGTCAGAATCAAATCCTTCCTACACCCCGTAATATCTCTCTTATCTCCACGATTAACTCTACTCACATTCCTTTATCTCACTGCACCGCTAATGCAACCGATGCGAGTTCACGAAACGTTATTCCTAGTCTCCTAAATTCCCGTTCTAAACTAGGAGCATATCTTAGTTAAAGAAATTCAAGATCCTTATAATAACCAGTATTTCACATGGTTTATATAAGAAATAGATGATAGTGATTAGCAGTAGAATTTAGGACATGGATTTCATCCAATTTATAACTCGTCAGCTAAATGTACCTGCTTCACAAATTTTATATCCACTCCAAGATTTGAACCCAATAACTTTTGCTTTCAACATTGAACGCATTATTCACTTAGCTAATAAATTCAGAAATCTACTGACTTATACAATAGGTATGAGTTTATTAGTTCTATTTGTAAGGGTTTTTGAATTATTTCACTGTTGATATTCTTGACTGAATTTTGTTCAGCTCATTTTTTTTAACATATGTGCTCTTCCTGTGTGGATTACTTGATATATCCATCTAATCACCAATTTTTATGGATTATGGCTAGCAGTGAATTGAATAAAATTCAGTTAAGAATGACTTGATAAAATAAATTACATCTGTTTTGAAAATATCATGTTATTTGTATGAATGCAAACTTTCTTATTCAACCATCATTATGATTTTTTAGATCAATAAATCAATAAAACGGGCATACAATCCAACTAGATTGGTAATATTCGAAAGTTACTAAATGTAAACATTTAATAAAAGAAATGGTAAGGAGAAACAACATACTAGATGAACGAAAATCCACCAATCGACAGTCAGGATCTAAACATTTCTGATAATAACAACCATTGATAAGATCAAAGATTAAACTAAAAAAAATTAGTATGAATGAACATAAAACAGTAAAAAATATTACTTGAAAACAAAAAAAGATAAAGATAATCTTATTCATATAAGTTTATAGTTGCTACTGGTTTCATACAACTTTATGAGTAGTCGGAAAGAGCAGCTCAAGTATTATTAGCAAAGGTGAATAGTGGATAGCAGTTGGATCGAGGATGCGCATTTCATCCCATTTGGGACTCGTCAGCTGGATGAATCTGCATTTCGAAATCGGTATTCACTTTAGGACTTGAACTCAGTACTGTTTGCTTCAAACGCTATCGCGTTATCTACTTAGCTACAGAGTTCAGACAACACCTCACTTGTATAATGGAGTGAAGATTAATTCACTAGTAATGGTTGTTTGGATTTCCCTATTGATGGTGACGACTGCAATGGTTACTGTCCTTCTCTCCTAATCATGTTTGTAACCTAAAGGCAATATCAATGAAATCTGCACAGGATGCACATATGCCAAAGAGATTGATCAATGGGAAGATTCACACAATTAATACAGATAAAACAACTTAAGTAGTTTGGATAAAGATGGTTAAAAACATACACAATAAATTGAGAATTTTATTTTATTCTTTACTATTCCAAGCCAAACTTACTATTGGAATCGAACTATTAAAACTCTGATGAATTATAGGAAATATACTCAGAGGTAATATTTCTTAACTAATACATTTTTTTATTATCTAAAAGCATATTATTAGACCTTCAAGAATGTCCATATGAGATAACAGTAGTCAATAGGTCATATGCAATGCGATGTCTGATACATTTTTACATCGGTTCAAGTTGTTATACCTCATCAGTGTAGTGAAATGTTAGAGAATAATAGTGGTAACAAAACTAGTAGCAGAAGATTACGCACAAAGGATATAGTTTTGGTTGAGGAAATAAATTCGCAGAGTAAGAAAAATTTACCATTTTTAAACTCAAAATCTATGAAAAGGCAAACAATTAATGCAATTCTACGGCATTGTAAGCGATTAAAAGTTATATCGCTCAATATCTCTAACTCTTGCTTACGACAATCAACGGTTGGAAATTGGGTGGTACAAAAGAGGCATTACTGCAAGCAAGTCAAAGTAACGATTCTTCGAGAAAACCTATTTGGATATAATATTACCGGTGATCTTCCACTTGACTTAAATCAACCATCTCACTTTACAAACTAAGTCTGTAAATAAGTTTTTTGAATGCCTCTAAAACAAACGCACGTAATTTCGCAGGGATACCATAACAGTTTACTTTTTATTACTATTTATAACACCGCTTTCAATATGGAAATACTGTGTTGTTCTAAATACTGATCAGTCTCAACTGTCATATTAACTGAAGTTAGACATTAACACCATTGTATACTGGCTCAATGTTCTAGAGGTCAAGGATTCAAATGAAAGATCGAAGATCCTGGGCTCGATTTCCACATGTGTGGTCGCAGATGCGCACTTCTGACAAGTCCTATACTAGGACGAAATGGCTGTCCAATGATTCCAGGTTTCCGATAGCAGTCTAAAAGTGATCAGTTTACGATTTTAATGAAACTAAATTATTATGTTAAATATATGGTTTCCTAATCTTCCTTCTCATGTCGGTTTCAAACTTAACTTCATTGATTGTGGTACGTAATGAAAACTTTCTACCATAACAATAATTCTAAATTTAAGCCATTTTTAGCTGTTGAGAATGCTTGAACTATGATGAATTAGTGTTATTCTGTAAATAGTGTTCTTTATGTTGTATTTTAATTTATTAAAGGATCCGAATAGAGGAAACTTGATCTAATATCAGTAAATATTCAACCACCGATGATCAGTTTTCATAAAAAAAAACTACAAAAACTATCATATACAATGTTAGCAACGAATTATAATATAGATGAATTCACTTACATAATATGATTACTTTTATGCGAACGGTTGATTCGTTCACAGAAACGTAATTTCTCTACTTTTACAATTAATTTGCCTTCATTGAAAGAAATTACTTTGATTTGATTTTCCACGCTGAACAATACATTATTATTGATGCTTCCATCCGGTAATCCACGATTAAACCATTCTTGAATAATTTTTTTTATAAAAGCAATAAGCGTCAATGGGAATGACTGAAGAGAAATATTTGCATTGTTTTCATGAACGAATTTATAAACATGATCAGAATTAGTGATGTTATTAGTCATTGGTAAATAATTAAGTAAATTGTTATCATTTTTATTACAATAACAATTTTTCACTGGTCGATGAATAAAATTTGAACTGTAGATTGCAATTTTTTTTAAAAAAAGAAACAGATAGATCGAAATTTTTATATGCAAAGTCTAAGAATATCAAAGAAAATATTTGTTGAGATACAATTGGTTCTATGATTATACATATATACATGTATATGTCACTTACGATGTAGAACTTCGTACATACGTACATAAGTTCAAGTTGTCATACAACATTAGCACAGAGACGCAACTGTCAGTTCAAATAACCTAGTGGTAGAGATAGTAGAAGTACTAGAGGTATAGGAAAAGATTAGGGTTCGAAGATATTTTTCAATAAACATAAGCCAGTGAGATAATTTTAGAAAGAAAAAGATAGAGGTGATGAGGAATTCAGAAGATCAGCATTTGAGAGAACACAAAGAGTGGATGCATTTGCGTCATTGCAAACGGTTTTGAGCCATGTCGTTCAAGAACTCTAACCATCGGTTACTATCGCCCCGCCGACCCCAACCAGGTAGTCTGCACCTAACAACATGACTCAGTCCACTTGTCAGTGACTTCATGGATTTGTGCCACGTTTTGGTTTGGCCGCCCTAACTTTCTTCCAGCCTAAACCCAAACCACAAAACATCGCTCGTCGAGGCAGTCGGTGGTTGGGAATTCGTAATATATATATATATATATATATATATATATATATATATATATATATATACATCAAGGAGGATTCACAATAGTTGAAATAAATAACCGGTGAACATTGAGGAGATAAAACACCATGGAACATATTCCGTTCATTGGCATTTTACGACTCACTCAGAACATTGCGAATTAAGAGATCATAACTAACGCTTTAGCCCTTCCTAAATCAGTTCTGGCACGACACCGAGCGAAATAACACACAAGATTTACAACAAAGATTCTCTGATTTCTCGACCTATATCTAGTAACGAATGATGACATCAATAGGAAAAAAGAAATATTGCATTTCGCATTGACGACCAGTCATTAAGAATGAGTCCTAATGTATGAAATTTAACGTTTTGAGTGCTATTTCAAGAACGTTTTCTGACTAATTCTAGTCGTATTTTTGAAAAATTTCTAGTTTCTAACAAATTCTCATATAGAAAATGTGGATTATGGCTAATTATGCACAGTGTCCACGTTAAAAACGAGTCACATTATGTTATAACTGAAAACTAATTGAATTTTTTTTAAACTACCAGCTTAAACATTATATCATTATACTTAACCATGTGATACATTCAACTCAATTATTTGGTCATTCAAACTAGAACCAATGTGAAATTCTCATTAGTAATCAGTGTTTATCTTTTTTTTTCATTGCACTTTATTGGAAAACTTAATTACGGACAAACTGGCTACGTTTTTATTGGCTGAAATGCATTTTGCTTAAACAGCCAACTTGTTATAAGTTATATTTGGATTTGTGATTGATAGTTATCATCTCATCACCATATATTATAGATGCATACGAATAACCAAACCAGTTTTCTGACCAAAATAGATCTCCAGTATATCACTCGAGTGAATCCAATGGTTATTATAGCGAATTTGACAACCACATGTATTACAACATGACAGTTTATTGAAAAAAACCAACTACAAAGGAATCAGAAAGTCGGATTAGAGTAGAATGTATCTTGGAAATATAAGGCAGTTTCTTCCTTATATGTTATTCAATGTAGCGATTTTGAATAACTGACCAATCCACAAGCCCCATTTGATTAGACATATTAATACAACAATCAGACAGACAGATACAACGTAGAACTTCATATGTACGTACATCAGTTCAGGTTGCTATGCCCCATCAACACAGAGACGTAACTGTCAGTTCAAAGTCCAAGAGTGATAGCAATAATAGAAGTATTAGCGGTAATGAAAGAAGATTAGGGAGCGAAGATATGATTCGAGAAGTATAATTCAGTAATACAACACCCAGTAAAAATTATGAATATTTTGAAGAAGAAGAAGAAAAAAAACAGACTCTGTCAACTCACCACTGTTCATCAGTATAACTAACAAGATACCGTGCCCAAGATTGCCAATTTGACCATATACATGAAAATTGTTGATTTTTATTGTTTACATAATTTGGTAATAATAATCCACTACCAGATAATTTACATGATCCAGCTAAACGAAAATTACGATTACGTGTATACACGCCTAGATCACATACACTAATCCATAATAATTCATTCGATAATGAAATGGATTGTTTGAATTTATTAGGTAAAACAAAACAATTTCTAGCATCATTATTGGTTAGTGGAATCTTAGGAAATATATTTTGTATCAGCTGATTAATTTGATTTGAACAATCTGAACATTCATTTGTATATTGAAAATCAGTATTTAATAAACTATATTGTGATAGACTTTTACAAAGTAGACGAATTAATTGACCTAATTATGTATTGAATAATTTTATTAGATGAAAAAGAAAAGAAATCATTTACTAATTAAATATAATTTAAATAAGGATAAAATAACAATTATATGTAAATTAAATAACACATTTGAAATCATCAATCAATCAATCATTGTTAGACCACCATTAGAAACCTAGGAGCACTGGAAGGCCGTTTCGTTCGTTGGATGCCTGCACAGTGGTCCCAGTGGTTAGGCGTTCGCGCATAATATTGAAGGTCCCGGGTTCGAGTCCTACGAGGTGCAGGAATCGTGGATGCGCACTGCTGATGAGTGCCATACCAGGACGAAACGGCCGTCTTTCAGTGCTTTCAGGTTTCTAATGGTGGTCTAACAATGATTGATTGATGATTTCAAATGTGTAAAAACACAAATCTCCAAAGCTTCAACTGAAAATTTAAATAACACTAGTGAGAACGTCTTAAACTGGTAAACTCAATGAAATGAATCCAAGTCCTAAATAGGAGGGAGGTATCATGTCTCCAAAGATTGTAGATATGCCTTGTTGACGAGTACTGACTACCATGAAATCAACAGAAAATCCGCAATCATTTAGCAGTTTTATGTTATCTATTAAGTTTGTAATAATTAGATGTGTCTCAGTTACGATAATGAGAACGAAAATTCTCAGTTTTAGAAACTTTGTTTTAGCATATTTTTTTCATGGTTAGCAGTAGAATAAAAGACAAGAGTTTCGTTCAATTTGAACGTGTCAATTAGATGTAACTCTGTCTAAACAAATTAAACAAAACCTGTGGTATTTATAAATTAATATCGAGAAAACAAATGATAGAGAAGTACACAAGATACCAAAATTTCTTTCCTTATCAATAATCATAGTGTATAATACCAAGTAATTGAAATTCTGCTTTCTGATATCACTATTTGAGTAAACTATATTTATTATATTTAAATGGCTACTTCAAAAGCGAAGTAATAGACATTTCTTTGCATTATACGCGTCTAGAAGTATGTGAGTGTGTGAGAACGCCTTCAGAGTTGTACATCATTTACATTTCACTAGTTCTGTGAGATTAATTAATTAGCGTACATGATAAAATATGGGGTGGAACTTTCATTACATACTGATATATATATTCTTACAATTTATCTACTAATCTCTGATCGATAGATAAGTAGTTGTGTAGTAATTGAAGGCATTCAACTTCAGTCAATGAATCGAAACTTACTCCACTGAATTTGGTTTGGACAACCAGTTAGTTACAATCTTTCTTGACAAATATTTCTTATTTACTACACCAAATTCAATTATAAATACATCGGAACAAGAATGAGAAGGAAATAATATATGTTTCAAAGAATCGAAGCAATACACGGTTATAAAAACGTAGGAGTTTATTTAGAATTTATACGAGAAACTTCGAGTATCTTCCTGACTGGCTAAAAATATGTCAATAAAGAAAACCAAACTAGAGCTTGGGCTGAATATGCGGCTGTTAGGGTTGAATTCTAATGAGAGATTTTCCCGACCACACACACTAACAGTATGGCTCATAGCCTAATAAACAAGCTTGTGCTTATTAAACGAGTTGCAACACCAACGACAATAAAAAAAATCTAAATTTACATATGACATCAGACGTACCTTGTTCTAAATTGTTGTGAAATACCAGATTCTTATTGTTGATTATGACATGTTGACTAAATTTCTTTGAAGTGCTATGAATATTTAAAGAAAGAAATATTCAAAAAACTTTTTCACATTGTACACAGAATCTAGTGGGATAATGCTGGGGACGTCAGATCCACAGAACTCACTTGGAAAAGGTCCTAATTTTGTAATTTCATTGTTTTCGCGCCAAAGACGCTCAGTTGACCTTCAGCTTATATTTCCCACTCGGATAATTCTTTACTGTCATTGGTTGATGGATTGTTTTAGTACGCCGTTTTTTGTGGCTCTCAGCAAGGGCATTTTATCATTGTATAAATTAGCTTCAGGTGTGTGCTTGTGGACTTCGTACTTCTGGGTGCCTGTAGAATACATTTCTCTACGTCTTATCGATACTTCTTCCTCTAGTTAGCGGGGCTTGGGACGATCGGATTAGAATAGCCTATCATGTCGCTGAATCATTGATCTTCGTTGCGTTTACCGAGTAAGGTGAACTCGTAACAGTTCGAGCATATCAGATATGTTATGTCATTTCGATGAACTCATCAAACATATATATATATTCTCATAATACAACGCGATACTATACTTTTGTATGTAATTTGCCCACAAAGTATTCAATTCTTTTTGTTTATATTGACGAATCTAGAGCGATACGTATAACAGAATTCTACTTCCCTATTGTTAAACTCAGTATAAACATGTTTCAATCTTTCAAAAATGCTTATTGTTTCGAACGAGAACAATGTCTGAACTATAAACAAGTATTTAAATAATTTGATTTAATAATTCACTGTCTCAACACCACAGAAATGAAACAATTCATTCAAAAAGTTAATTTAACTAACCTTGCATCCAGTATAAATATTTCACTAGGTTTAATAGTTATATCATAGAAGAATTGAATACAAGCACACAAAGCCTGAATTAAAAGCAAAGGTGAAAAAAATTAAACAAGTAAGCTAATTTTGCTTGAATAAGAAAGCAAAAGTTATGACACAAACATTTTACAATTCAATCTAACTAAGTGATTATAAACTATACTTGACGATTATAACAACCAAAATCACAATTATGTAAATAATTGAAGTCCATTCATTCAACGAAGACTGGTCGAGTGAATCCAAACAGATTACAAGTTCCGGTTAAAAGACAAATGGTAAATGAGAAACGCAATTGTGGGCAGGTTTACTACGAATGAATGAATAGTTAATGCCAATATATCTTGTCTGCATCTGTTCAGTACTATGTACATATACAGACGACTTATAAAAATGACTAATCACAATGTATGCAGTGGCCAGTTTTTTGGGTATACCCACACACACACTCTAACCATGACGGCTATTGACATTTTCATTGTTCTTCTGAAAAGGATCAGCCAACTGATTTCAAGAGAAGTCTTCTCTTCTTCTGTTCAGAAGAATAATGACAGTTTCGTAACTAATGCATCATTCAGCTTACAGACCATAAAACCAACAGACCCATTCTGTGCTAGAAATATTTTCTACTATGTTAACTTGAGAGGAAAAAATGAATAAAATTAGTGAAATACTCTATTAAGTAGAAGTAATATGTATAAAAATTTTAGAAGAGGACCAATAAAGCATAGACTACTATTATTTACCTTTAAAAATGTATCAACAGCTACTTCCCCATCTTTATTTTCATTGGATAATCTACAAAATTCTAAATCCAAATACAATTTAGCTGGTCTATCTAGATAGAAAAAAGAAAATAAAAGAATATATATATATATATATATATATATGGAAATATAAGAGGATGATGTAAAATAATCTATCCAGAATGATAATGTGACTGGAACTGGATAACTTCGATTTTACTCATAAAACTGGTAAATAAATGCACACAAGAACTACGAAACTAATGACTGACATGAAAAATTAGTTATAGAGAGATGAGTCCTTTTGGAGTAGTCAATAATCAACATAATAAAAACAGAAAATTAAAAAATATGAAACGGAGAGAAGAATTCAATGCAAAATAAACTGTATTAGTCATAGAAAAGTTGGAAACATACAGATTAGCAATGTGTTGAAATTCTAGGAATGTGACCGTACTACTGCAACCGGCGGTTTCTTCTATTCTAATAGTCCTAGACAGTCAACCTTCAATATGCTTTTTAACTGAGTTTCTGAGTAACATAAATAATTGAAAAATGTGAGTTATCAAATAAGCAACGTTTTTGTGTAGAACAACCAACGGTAGACAGATTTCAAGTACACTCCAGATTCATCAAACCTAGTATTAATTCGTAAGTTACATGGACAGTCATTTCTTATAGAGGATGTAGCGAATATGGATCCACCGGGAAAAACAATAATTTAATGCAAAAGCTAATAAAAAACCTACCTACCATAATTACCTCATAGTGACAACGCGAAGAAGGTACCATTTGTCTAATCAAAAGAAAAATATATGACAAGGGTATACTTTACAACAAATTCTTCTAAGCTTGGTAACAATATCACAGTAATGTAACCAACTACATGATTCAAGTACTGAGTTTTGATTCTCATCATTTCTAGATACGAGGCAGGGTGGTACATGAAAGCGTTGATGTGTAATTTCCATTTAAAATAAAAAGCTAAACATGGAAGTCTATAGATATATGGATAGCGTATTGAAGTGATCTTACCCGATCATTCATCGTAAGTAAAATGTATACTTCCATGTTACATGAAAATAGAATTCTCTTCTAATGAAATAATTACAAAGGATTTATGTTATCTATTAACTGTTCAGTTTGATTACTGATTTGACAAATAAATTATTCTACATTCAATATCTTATCACATACAACAGCAGTTAGTGCTGACATCCAACAAGTGTATTTTTCTGTGTATTTCTCCTTGGTTGAGATCTGAAGATAGGATGCAACTCAACGGATCGAGACGTTATCAGATAAGCTTCAAAATAAAATCCAATAGTCTATTCCTTACATTTTTCGTAAAAATAAAGGTGATTCCTACAATTGAAAAGATTCTTCCTAGTCGTAATTTTTTTATGAACTGTCGCTTCTAGTCAATATATTTTTAATTATTTATTCGTCTTATTATAAAGCACCTTTTTCCTTCATCTCATATCTTTATAGCGTAAATTTATTTTAGTAGCCAGTTATACTAGTATTTAAGTTTGAAATAAATAAATAAATAACTTCATCGTTTTGGAAGGTTATTTATCCATACAATGCTATGATTAGAATAAAGTCATAGAAGAAAGGTTGACAGATAGAAATATTATGAAGTAAAGAGAGGATCTGTTCACAAAGAAAATGATCTCATATGATGTTAGAGGTGCATAGATGATTGCTACTTCCCATTTTGCCACACCGTAAAAGGATCCTACTTATCAAGGTAAAAATAAAGGGAGAACTACGTCAGCAACTGTTTTAAAAACTTGAGTGTAACTACAGAATCTAAAGGAAAATCGCTTAAGACTGGTCATACACATTGATTTTTTGTCAGTAGTTCTTGATATGTTGTCTAAGTAATTTTTGGACTTTACCGAGGGAAATAGAAATCCATAGGGGAAGATAAAATGTGTCCTTTTTCAGAACCGATCTTTCTTAATTTCCTGTGGTGAGAATACTTTATCACAACAGATTTTAGTTGTCCGAGGGGGAACATTACTATTTCCATACCCTGGTACAGTTAGAATTACAACCTCGCTTTAAGTTTTACCACTCACCGACCAACTTGTCTAGTAGCAGGGCAGGATTTAAAGGAACAAATATTCTAACCAATAAAACTAAACTGAGTCATCATGATAGGTAAGCCAGACCACCACATCAAAGTAGTAATGACGATACCAGCATTCATATAAATGAAATTCCATAGAAATAGTTCCACAATATTAGGGTTAGATAACTTTTATACTAAGCCATGAAAAAATGAACAAGTCTACAAAAAGGCTTTATAATTTTACAGATTTCAATACTTCTTCAATAAAACACTCTTGAATTATGAAGCTTCTCTCATACTTGACGCAAACGTGTGATACATAAGCAACATAAACAATTACAAGCATGCAAAATACATCAATGAAACATACTTGTAGGTGTGAAAGAACGACTGAACACCACAAGCTAAAAATAAGCGCTGACCTTCATTCCCAAGAGATAAGCTTTCATAACTAAAAACCATCATCTCCTGATAGTATAAAAAAAAATGAAATCTTGTTTAGAAGGGAAAAATGTATTCCATGAAATAAATGTATACATAAAGTCCAGCAAAACGATTTTGAGGAACTGAATACAACGTTTGTTTGGAACATACCATTTTAATGATGCTAATGAAACAGTTTTATAAAATGATTATTTATGAGTTTAAATTGCTACAACTTCTTTTAATAACTGTACACTCATAGCATTATTTTTCATTAATGGTGTTGTTAAACAGCAGGATATTCAAATAGTTTTATAGTCAGAAAAAGAATAAAATACAACCTTGGATTTATTTTAATTAGTTTGGGAAAGTGATGGTTAGTAGGATAGTATGTTGAAGGTTCAATGAGAAGACCGAGTGTTCCTAGTTGAAGAAATTCAAACTATAATTTCAACTAATATCAATACCTACACGCAACTTATACGTGAAAAACCCTTAGAAGTGGCAATGTATAAATTCTACTTCTTGAATAATATCGTCAAACCCTTATCTCTCAGATCACTGCTAATACTTCTACTACCTCCACTACTATGGGATTTGAAGTGACAATTGCATTTCTGTGCTAATGTGGTATGGCAACTTGAACTGATGTACGTACGTACGTACGTACGAAGTTCTACGTTGTTGTTGGCTGACAGACAAATTTCATAAACAAAAACTACGAAACATACACAAAAAATCTACTGAAATTATACAAAATGAGGATACTGTAAAGACTAGAAAAGTGATATATAGTATTTCAACTCGTTTTTTAAGCTTTTAACAGGGTTTTTTAAAATAACCAAAAAATTTTTTAAGGTTTTCACAGCGTTTTTTAAAATAACCACAGAGTTTTTTAAAATTTTTTGTAATCCTTAGAATGACAGAAATAAATAGAAAAAACAACTTGATTTCGAATGAAAAAAGAAAAAGCCTTATAAAAAAAGTTATTGAAGATGGATACAGCGTCAAGGATGCGGCATTTCTTACAGATGTAAACTATCAGGCCGCTACAAATATTATAAGGTTGTATAAAAAGGAATCGCGAGTTGAGAAGAAAAAAACAGGAAAACCATCAAATAAGAAGATATGCGGTGATATTAACAATTTTGTTGAAGAATTGATAGAATTAAACCCGTTAATAACGATGGTAGAAATTCGAGAAAAAATAGAAAACATATTTTGAATAGGCCTTTCTCTTGAATCTATAAGAAGGATAATTTATAGACTTCAGATTACTTTGAAAAAGATTTCTTATACATCGGTCAATATAAATTCGGAATCCAGTAAAAACAAACGCCAAATTTATGCTCAAAATTTTATGAACATTGAAGATACACTTATAAAAGTTTTTATACATCAATCTTCTTTTAATTTGTACTTAAGAAGAACCTTGGGAAGATCTACAAGAGGAAAACCGGCAAGTGCTCTAGTTCCATCAACGCGTGGAACCAATATAAGTTTAATATCGGCTATAACAGAAAATGAAGTTCTCTTTGCTAAAACATTTGTTGATTCGGTGAATTCAGATAAGTTCATTCAGTTTTTTGATCAACTAATTGAAAAATGCAATCAAAAATCAATTTTTAAGAATTGTATTTTTATACTTGATAATGCGAGGATTCATCACTCAATTATCGCAAAAAACTTTTTTGATGAAAAGGGAGTAAACGTTATGTTTTTGTCTCCCTATAGTTACATGCTTAACCCAATCGAATTCGCGTTTTCGAAAATTAAATCCATTGTAAGAAGATCTCTGGCGAGCGGATCCAACGAATCTTTTATATATAAATCTAATACTAAATTCTGTAAATCAATTAACCAGGGGTGATTTACAAGGTTATTCAAGACACGTACGTCGCAATTGTTTAAAAGCGATTGCTAAAGAAGATTTTAATTAAAAGTAGTTCCTATTTTATTTTTTTTAAAAAATTTTAAAAAACGCTGTGAAAATTTTAAAAAATTTTTTGGTTATTTTAAAAAACCCTGTTAAAAGTTTAAAAAACGATTTGAAATACTATAATTTAAGACTTTTTGAGAATTTCTCAATCGGCAACTGAACAATGTTAAAATCTTCATTATGCTTCAACGAATTTTTTTCAAGAACGGATTTATGCACTGAGTCATGTACAAGCCTTTAGGTCCGTACTGGAGCTGCTTCCTTGATGTGGTGGTCAGGTTCGCCTGTCGTGATGACCCAACCGAGCATTATTGGTCAGCACTCCTGTTCTTTTAGGTCCTACCATGCTAGGCAGGTCGATGGGATAACGGTAAGACTAAAAGCTGCAACTTAAGCTCTGAGGGCGAAGTCTTACTGCTGACTGTAAAGGGGTGTGATAGCAGCTAGGTTTTTCCCTCGGATGACCAGCACATGCAGTGATGCTGCCTTCTCACAATGATGGACGGGGTTGTAAATGGCCGATCCTGAAAATGTCACACCTCACGGATTTCCGTCTCTAACGGTAAGGCCTTTTAAACAAGAGCAGAGCTAACACTTTAAAAACTTCTCATAAAAAGGCCGTGTGTGACTGACTTCAAGCAGTCGTCTCTTAGGCTCTACGATCACCGCCGGGCGGTGATATCTGTTTCAATACCCGTAAAAGACCACATTAGCTATAATCAAATAGGTAACATAAGCTTTTAGGTGTAAGGGATAGTGATACAACTTGGCTACCGGAACTGACACATTCAACCGGGATTTGAAAAATTGACGAGCGGATGAAAGCAGTGTTTTTACCGCTAAGGCAATACTACACTTAAAAACAGGGAATTTTACCTTTAGAATGTTATAGGTCTTTTCCTAGTTACTGATTGGATTACAGAAATACACAAGTATTTATGCCTGTAATATAAAGTACTGAATCGTTCTTTTACCAAAGTCTGTTAATACGAAAACCCATAAAACATGGAAAAATTGATGGGTTTGTGCTTTCTTCAAAAGTATATGCCAGTTAAATGTTTATAAAATTAGTACTAAATAATTATGGGTCTTCAGTTAAATAAATACGATCTAATTCGATACAGAAAACTACATGTAAATCAATGAAAACTTTCTAAATTAATAAGAAATACAGTGAATAATTTCTATCCAGTTGAATTATTCATGAATATTGACTTGTATAGCATTTCACTGGCAGATAAAATAGACAGTTAAATAGGAGTAGAGGTTACATTCTGAAAAATTGGGAATTTCATATTTTAAAAAAGAATTATGAAACAAGTCTTTAACTTCATAGTACTCCGTTGTACTTTTGAAAGATACTAAGGCCAAAATTTACATTAGAATACAACTCATCAACCAGAAAAACCAAACTGATTCATAGGCATCGGAAAATGAATATTATAAATATGAATGTACCTGACCAAACTGCTTGGCAAAGTTAATGGCATCTTCTTGCTTACGAAATATTTTTCTAACACTGGTTGGACCTTTTAACCTTTGGAAAAGAGAGAAATAGACGATAAAGTTTACTCATGTTCACAATTATCCAAATTAGTACCTTTTGCCACGTCAGTCTTATCAAGATGAAACAAAAAGAAACATGAAACCTACTTCAGTTAATATAAATTACACACAAAGAAAATTTAGTTGTCTTTGAAATACCTTGATTTTAATGGGAGCACAGAGTTTACTGATATATTCAGGTTGTTTATAAATGATCACGAATAATGCTAGCTTCCTTTTAAAGCAGTTAAAGGGTAAAAGAAAGTGTCACTTGCTAAAAGTAATTAGCAGATCGTTCGCATCTGTTACGCAGTAAAAACTCCAAGTCAAAATTAAGCATGAACTTTAAAGTCATCACAGAACAAATGTAACAAAATCTTGAAGGACAGATACCCTGAAAATATGATTTATGACAAGATTGACTGACCAAAATAACAGGAATCATTATCGCCACAAAAAAATGTTGGAACCAGGTATAAATATACATCGAGTAAATTTGTCGAAAAATTGGAAAACCAAAAGAATCAAAACAATAATATTGATAAGATTATTACTACAGATATCCGAATTATTCCAAAGAGAAAAGTCTAAGATACCACTGTGGTATCGAGAAGAATCTCTCTGTGAGATCAATCAAAATTTATATTTACAAACTTTAAAAAAATCGAATGATTTTAATGTATATTTCTTTAAGGACTACAACTTAAATAAACCTAATCCTAACCCTTTGGATTCCTCATCACCTCTATCTTTTTCTGCTTAAGTTTATTTCAGTACATTCTATCTATCTATCCAGGTCTTCAGTGGTAGTCTAAGATCAGTTCATGATTAAAACTATGAAAATTCAATGATACTCATGAATTTCCTTATACCACTAGTAATATAAATATTTGTAACTATCTTTGTCAACATTGCAACAGGTGGAATGAAGGTCTAGAGGTTTCAGGTCAGCACACTTTGCTCCGTTGTAACCTAGCACGTAAGATTGCCGAAGTTACATGACTACCATTCAAAAAATTCGAATACATGGGCCAGAGACGAGAACAGTGCAAACCATGCTGTAGATTACTGACACTTTAATTACAAAATTATTTCGAATATAGTTCGTAACAACCATAATAATTGAAAACAATTTAGGCATAAATCAGTAAATAAAGTAAAGATTTTATAAATACAAATAACATACGTAGCGCGGTAAGGTTGTGGTATTTGACGTACACGAGCAACGGCTGCTTCCAAATCATATCTTTTGAGTCTGTACAACATTTTGGAAGAAAAAACAGATAACCATAGTTAGGAACCACTTACTAGGTTCTCAAATCAATAAGAGAAATTCAATCACGTTAAAAGCAGACATATTTATTAAGTAATTTACAGAGTAATATCTTGATTTAGATAATCAGTAACTCATACGTGATGTAAGTTCTTTATTTTTATTTATCTCACTATGAAACGGAAATAAAATAAGATTGAGATCGTGATCTGTAGTCTAAAGTTAACAACCTAACCCTTGAATTATATTCCCTAAAGAACCGCGCCTAAAATGACAAAAAGAGACAAAGCTGCAGGAGAGATAAAAGCAAGCTTATTTTTGAATTATTCACTGATATATGACAGCGATTATGTATTTGTATTCAGGTTTTAGAATATTTATAGATATGACAAGAATGCACGACATTAAAGTATCCTGGGCTCCCGAACTTTCATTTAGTTTCATTAATTTCAAACATAAGAATGAAAAAAAGTAAACGACATTACCAACTTTGAAAAACTAACTTGCTAGATGTCATAAGGGCTAAAACTTGTAAACATTATGAGTGATTTGAAGGCTAAATGATACACTAACTACACCGACGACAACAGCACCACATATCAACACAAAAACTGTAGACGTGTTTTACAGCAGAAATCCTGTTTAACAGTTTACAATTTGATATGTTTTTTTGATTTCTTGTATTAAAATAAGGTTTCCAGCAAACTTAAGTACCGGAGGCGAACTCATAGAAGTTAACTGTGGAAAAGACAAACATTTGCACACTATTTCGATTTAAATTAACTCATTATTCAGGTACTTGGGTACGAGGCACACTTGGCGTGTGAGGATTAACTTAAATAATCGAATTCCTAAACAGAAGTAGGTGAAGCAAGTCTTGAATCTGGAACCTAGTGAATAAAATTCAAGTCAACGATCCACTAGCTAACCATACTTTAACCTGACTATTACCTTACGTTCTACAAGATTGCGAAGGTCACACGTAATCTTAAAATGACATTTCAAGTAGTTGGGTACTCCGAAGCTGACACAATCCTGCATCTGATATTAGATGCAGTCTTACTTCTAGGAAGAACCCCAACCAACAAAGCTCTTAAAGAAATAATGAGGCTATTTGCGAAACTTGCTAATAAAAATAGACCTACTAGTTTATAATCGATTATATAGGTAACCCAAGAAAACCGCTTACCGTTTCATGTTTGTACCACAACGTAGGACAACCGACCAGTGGATATTACTCGCTCAAATATTTGAAGTGGATAAGGAACATAAAGGTGCTGAAAAAAATAATGGAGAATTCGTACTACGTCTGATTTTAAGATTTCCAGGTGTTAGGGTATATTTTAGTTCGAACAGTGGACACTAAATAACTTTTTTTGTCATTTAAATCAGGCATCCCAAAGACAATTTTGCTGATAATCTGAGACATTCATTGAGAATTGCCTGCAAAGTTGTTATACGTTAATCATGGAACTAACTTTATGTACCTATGACCGAAAATTCCTAACATTATACAAAACTCGAACTTATGTTTAGCTACTCAGTCGTTACAATTAGATATCACTTGTTTAGTAGACACTGAAAGTTGATAACTTATACTAAATCTTTGTATATACACTATCTCGTCATTGATCTACGACGGCTTATACAATTCCCAAAACAAATGAAGTGGTCAACATACACAGATACTCTATTCTAAAAGGTTAGGCCATTCTATGACGCAATACTCGCAGATTAAAATGATGTTTTTATAGACATGGGCGTTTTCAAAATATCTTGGCACAGCTGTAAAAAGTGCTAACAAATAACATGTTAAAAATGGTCAGAAAATTGAGTTTATCGATAACCCAAGTAACCAGAAAATAGAAACAAATGTGAACTCGTGGAAAGTAAAGAAAACAGATTCACATTACTAACACCACATCTAGTGACCTCGACAACGTTACAACCAGTTTTAGTCAAAGCTGGCACCTTTTTGTTTCCGTGACCTTCCAATATCCAATATCTTTTCCACGAGCTAGTGTAAACTAGTTGATGTATTTGCGCTCGATTCTTGTCCTTTCGGTACGGTTCCAGGTGTTTGGTAGTGTCCGACGAAAGGCTACTCGGTTGTCTAATTCTAGTCATTTGGAAGTTGATTGTGTGTTTGTATGTCTCGGGATTTGAATGAAAACGTTTGTTTCAGGGAGGTAAGATGATCACGTTGGAATGGTTTGGCGTGCTTAATATGTTATACGCCATAATCAGTTGACCTCTGATTCTCCTGTAACTCAATGGCAATAATCCCAATTGCTGGAGTCTGTCATCTTAAGGTTTGTTTTCAAGCCTATTACCCATTTGACTGCTCGTCTCTACACTCGATCCAAGAGATTTATGTCTCTTTCAAGGAGAGGGGGTGCTACGAAGTTTCGAACCTCTAGGCGAAGGCGCGCACTAGAATAATTCTGGGGTGGTAGCACAGAGTTATCTTCGCATAAATTGAAGAGTCGCATTTGCTTTGGCTGCGTCCCCTACATAGTTCTCACTCGTGTGAAGGCTTTATGTGGTTACTAAACAGAGATCGCGCTCTGAGGTGACATTAGGGGGCGGACATCCATTGAGGGCGTAAATCATTTTCGTCATGTGGGGCAGAAGATAGATGACGTGGTACTTCGGTTGGTTGAGTTTTAAACCGTTTTCCACTGCCCATTCCTCAATAGATGTAAGGTCCTTTTGAAGCTCAGTCGAATCCTCTTCCCTTCCACTGGACCTTCAGATCTTCGCATCGTCTGCATAGACCAATGCCGGTGAGCTAACCGAGTCTAACAAATCGTTAATAAATATCAGGAAGAGAAGTGGACCTAGGATGGTCCCCTGTGAAACTCTCGATGCGGATACTCGCCAGCTCGCGTGCACTCTGTTTACCTTTGTGCGAAATACTCTATTCTGAAGGTGGTTTCTGAGCCAAGATAGGGGTGGTTTGGTGAAGCCTATTTCCACAACCTTTTCGATCAGGCGTGCGTGGGGCTTTTGCACCGGTAATTTTCGGTCCAAGCAGGATGTCCAACTTTCCCATGCTATGAGAAGATTGGATGAACACGACCTGCCTTTCCGAAACCCGTGTTAAGCTTCATGGAGTACATTATTCTTATCCACGTACTCCCTCATTTGTTCGTTCACCAGCACCTCCATTACCTTTGATAGTATTGGTAGTAGTGAGACTGGTCTGTAATTGTCTGGGTCCTTCTTATCTCCTCCTTTTTCGACTGTAGAGTAGCTCGTTTCTACCCAGCTGGGAGTTGGTTTGACTCCAGATAATGCCTGAACAGGTCACATACCGGTGACCAGAGGACTTATGCACATTGTTTCAAGACTATGGGGCGAATATTGTCACAACCTGTTAACTCCTGAGCTTACGGATTTTGTTCTCCTTAGTACTAAGTCAGGAGTGATATGGATATTCCCCAAGCTGTCAGCTCGCCATGGATTTGCGTAATACTCTGAATATGTGGATGCCTAGTTTAACTGCTTACTGAAGTTTGTGTTGAAGATCTCATCCATATTTTAGTTGATGAGGTCTTTCCCATCTGGTCCTTTGAGTGAACACAAACCCTGATTCGAAGGTTTTCTTTTAGACATGAACCTAAATATATGCTTGTATTTTGTCTACTAGCTTTATCTGAAGTCGTTACCTATCACTTCGAACTTTGGTATTGCACCTGTTTCTCAATGCAAAGTAAGAACTACGATCATAATCCTTCAAGGAGACCTTCCACTTGTGCCAGGCTCTCCTCATCGCCTGTAACAAGCGTTTAGTGCCGCGCCTAACCGATGTTTCTCTATTCCCTGGTGTGTGGTGTGACTAAGGTACATTGTCTACGACAGCATTTTGGATGATGTCTCTCACTGTCTACCAGTGATCATCTACTGTCAGCCTCCACCACTCCCGTGGGGCATTTAGGAGGGTCTCTCATACGCTTATAATTTGCCCTGGTGTAACAAAGATAGGGATCATTTTCGTCCTGTGTTGGTGTTTCATTTATGACCATGTTAAGCAAGACTGTGCCACGGTCACTACTTCCTATCGGTGTATGGATGTGAACATCCTCGACCAGGAGCTGATAATTTGTTAACAAATGATCCAGGTTGGAGGATTTTCCCTCCTTAATCTATCTAGTGGAACTGCACACATGCTCAGTAAGCCCTAAGGTTCTAAAGTCTGCCCTAAGTCGTCTTTAGAGTTGTACCCTGATTGCTGAGATTTAGGGATGAGGTATTGAAATCTCCAGATACGAGTATTTGGCAGTTGCAGGACTGAGTCAGTCAGTTTGTGTTTCTGGGCCTTAGTGCCTGAGGGAGGAAGTTTTTCGTGCCACTTGTGTAGAAATAACGCTAACATGATTCTGTCACCTCAGTTAGCTGGGTATCGTATGGCCTCTCGGCCTTTAAATGTCTGTTTATATATGTAGCCACTCCACCTCCTGTTCGGTGTATCCTGTCGCTTCGGAAGAGTGTCATGCTTTGCAAGCTCACTTCGTAGTATGCAGTCTGAGGGGATAGCCATGTTTCAGTTAGGATTATGATCTTCAAATCCATCTCAGGGCACATGTTTCTGATTTTTGGTGGTTTGTCTCAGAACCTGCTTCACCTATGCAGCAACAGCCGCTGTCGGATTTTCAAACCAGTTGTTTAAACTGAGTTGGCCAGTTTTGTGGGAACTGGTCTCTGCAGGTTTTTTGCTTGTGCAGTGGGTTCAGTCAGCGAGGCTATTGTCCTCATGTCTTAAGCCAGGGGATGTTGATTGAGACCAACTGTCGATTTTGTGCTTTCATTTTGGCCTCCCTGCTGTTGTCTCACAGATCTAGGTCGGCTTTCGCAACAGGTGATGTGGCTAGACACTTCGTTCTTTGAACTGTACCAAGCTTGGAGTGTAGAATTCTTTTTGAATGCTTTGTGTTTTGGAAAATCCCTCCATGTTTACATATTTTGCTATGACCTGATGGACTTTTTCTCTTGACATTTTTGGTATTTCATTTGATTCCAATTTGAGATTTTACCATTGTATGTGTTATTCTTTCCATATTTTGTACTTATATTGAAGTTTTTGTGTTTGCCTTTGAACTGTACATATATTGTTTAAATTTGATATAATATGGCTACCGCCACATTTTTGGATAGACGCGGTGGCTGCTGGACTTAGTGTCACTTACTAGCTATTGTAATAGATACTCTACGGAGTAATTTAGTCCTGGAAGAAACAAAAACATCGTAAGCCTCTGTATTTCCATTTTATAACAATATAGAGACGTTTTCTCCTAGAATTTTTGGCCTTCTGATTTGGCTGGGACCTGGATCTAGGAGTATCGTACCGGTGTGTTTCTATTGGACGCGATTAGGACAGCCGCCGGCGAAATAAATTCTACATGGAGAGCTTCAGTCAGGTCTTTCCGGTTCCTGAATTCCATAGCCATCAAACTTGGTGACTTGATTAATGTGAGTTGTGACGGCCTGGGAAACCTAGCAATGCGAAGAGCCATTGTGGTGTGAAGGTCTAGGCTACGTGAAAGTGATTAACAACAGGGGATTAACAACAACTGGCAGTTTTGTTGGTGTGTTAGTTAGGGTTTTTGTTGCCTAGATCATGTTTTACTGGTTTAGTACCAGGCGATTTCGGTTTGTCCGTTGGGACTTGAGATATGATTTTGGGTAGGGCTTGTGGCTTTGCCAATGCCTCAGATACTCTACACCGTGGGCAGATATACCAGAACCACGGGCAGGGGTGATTCAACATGAATCCATAATACTCTTTAGGTACTGTAGTGTCGTAGTGACAATGGACACATGTACTACAGAAATCGCATTCAACAACAGAGTCACTGATTTTGAGGGACAAAGAATAGGCGAAAAAGTCATCCCTATGCCGTTTCTGGACGACAGACTCTGTTGACTGAGCCTTGTGTTACGGGAGAAATGAAGACATTTTGCTGATCAAAACCTTTACATATAAATTTCATTAATTTCACTGTTTTTTTGGGTATATTTGTCTTACTTAACTTATGAACTTGTTTGAATGATTATTTTCGGCCATTTTGGACTCCTGTTTCTCTTGGTTGTTTGTTGGCAGTTTTTAGCTCCAGAAATCTATAAAATAGAAGGTAATTGTACTTATTATAATTATTGTTGTTAGAACTACATTGGTCGTCTATTTGTAATAAACCAAGGATTTTTGGTCGATTATTTGTGAATTGGCAATAAACTTTGGTACCTACTTTGGGGTTTCCTTTTGGTTTAATCTTTGGGATCGTGAATTACAAATAGATCAACACACAGTGCTTCTAAGGATCAAATAGCAAAAAATTGGACGTAACACCTTGGGACGCCATTTTCTCCAATTCTTAACAAGCCTGCAGGTTTTCCTGGTTGTTATAGTGAAAGATATGCTAGCAACCTTATTACTTAACATGATACCAGAGAGATTTAGAGGTGAAAGCAGAGATAATTAAGACATGAAATACACGATATAGGAATTTAGGAAAGAAGAATTTAGTCGTATGTATTATAACTACAAGGAATAGAGTCTGAAAGTCTGACCGCCCTAGTAAGTGGTCAACACAATTACCGGATTTTTTACGAATATGAAAAGTTGTTATCGAATTGTTAAACCAATTAGGCATTAAAGCTAGTAGAATGAATATGTGCTTAGGTTGTAGGGAATGCTCCTAAGAAAATGAACATACAAACTCAACAATAATAAAAGTACAAAATGGATGTGAGGTGCTACAGTGTCAAAGAAAAATGTATTCATGTCAAAATGGTGATGAGACTATTTTAAAAGTATAGGAACAATAGATAATGTGCACAAATATAAACACACTATAAATATGTGTCGATCGGGATAGTGATGGAGGTTTTGGAATTATAATCCACAATTATAAGAAATAGTCAACAATTCTAAATTCGAGTTATATATGTAATCCAAGATAATGTGTGTCTGGTATGCTCACTTGTGACTAGCTTCGTGAGGAAATTTTCGGAGTTCTGTTGATCGGTGGAGCTCAACCGTTCTGGATGTGGGGCAGTAACCCAAAATAGGTGCGGTTGACGGTACTAATATTTTCAATACTCGAAGTAAAATCAGTCGACTGGTAAAGCCAAAGCTTAAAGATGACTGTTTTGCTTACTCAAATTCGTTTATTCTTCTGATTATTAGCACCCTCACAGATTCCTAGGTTACATCGGCCACCGTCCTAGATCTCTGATTATCAGAAGAATGAAACTTTTCAAATTAAATAGACCAACAGAAACTAAGCTTGAAATCAAAGAACCCGAAGTTCACCATTCGCTCAGCAAGTAGGAGAGCTTGGATAATGAAATACAGAAGGCGCCTAAATGCTAACCAACGTTACTCCACATACATGAAAATGAATTTGTAGTAATGATTATTTTTTAAAGTTAGGTTGTGATTTTGTTGACATTTCAAGCTATCTATAACAGGAAATGATGCAAAAAGACTTTTTTACAAAACTTTGTCTACGGAATATTTGTTCTAGCATTATTTTAGTCTTTAACCGCTCGATAGGGAAAACGTCCAACCTTTAACTAGAGTAAAAGCAAACTTTATTAATAGTGACCTCATTATGAGCTATTATAGATCAATTTCGATGTGCAGGATTTGGCGATCATTCAATACAAAACATAGTATAAAAGGAATAGTGAAAAGACTTAATTGATCTGGAAAATAAGATGTATTTGCGCTATACATTTCAAAAAATCTGGTCACACAAATACTTGTCAAGGCATTTTATGTGAAGATTGTTGAGAGGTCAATTAAATAGAGGTTCAGATAGATATAAGGTGATAATTGTAAATAAAAGAGAGAAAATTAACATTATATGAGAAGAATAAGAAAGGGTAGGAGAATGTCACATTACTCTAAGCTTAAAGATTACCAGGGTAAATTCAAGGTTATAAAAAACTGTTTTTGTACACATAAGGGGGGTTTTAGTTCACAGATAGCCAAAGCTTCCATAAACATCAAAATTCATCCTTTAACGTTTCTATACAATATTTTCAAGGCTGTCTTGTTGTCAACCTTATGGCTTGTCTCAATTACGTGTTTTGCGATTGACTAGCATAGTTTTATACTTCCCACGTTTATCAGCTCATCTGACGTTTACTGATTTTGGAGCCACTTAGGTACATGTTCCATAAACCACTGCATTTATCAGTTTACATGTTTGTGTGGACGCTCATACATAGGGACGAGTAATCAGACTTTTCAATCAAGGTTTATGGAAATATTTTTCAGTTTCCCTTTGTACCAGGAATTTTCTGAATAGATATATAACAAATCTGGAAAATAATGCCGAATTGACGAGAATTTTTTAAATAATTGGATTAATGGTGATAAAGTTCACTAGATAACCCCATTTAAGTAACTTGCGTAAGTTTTCAGTTTTGATGTTTCGGATTGATAGGGTTGACCAAACAACCATGACTTCGGTGTCCCCAGCAAGTTTTACTTTCCTCTTATGTGGTTCTCGTAAATTTAAAGTTTTAAGTAATGGGAAGTGTATCATCCATTTCAATTACTTGAATAATGAATACATGATTTCCAATACTCGTTTTTAAACCTCATCGTTATTGGTGATCTTATTTTTATAATTCTAGACGGTTCAAGTATGGATGCCGATGAATATAATGGGAAGACTGTACTTGTTATCAATCATACACATATGGTTAGCTGTTTCTCTGGAGATGAAGTAAACTTGGATTCAGGATCTAAATTTGTCAACACGAAAGCGATATTTCAGAAGTCAATTTGGAGTAACCTTGTTGAAGCTGTCATACAGTATTGTCGTGTTGTATTCGATATATTTTCTACCGAAAAGCCTGTAAGTTCTTATAAATAAACCGTTCATTTATCAAGATATCCATAGTAACTTTTGATGATGAAGAAAAGATCCATTCTATCTGGGTAAATGAGGATCAAAATTTGGATACAGTTAGTACTTTTAACCTTAGTTAATAATATAATAAGATATGGAACATATTTTCACAGGAAGGTCCTCCCAAAATATCTTCACTCAATTTCCTTGACCGTGGGTCACTTCCAGGCTTGTCTTCAGCCTGTCATCTTTTACAAATGCTAACGCCACATCAGAAGGAAAATAATTCCAGTGACAACAAAGGCAGAGTAGTTATCTTAAGCATATCCATGGGGTAATAGCCATATTGGTTCAATTGTAGTTTTTTTATAGTAATCAGATTTCTTCTTGGATTCCGGATATTTTATCAAATTTAGAGAAGCCTATTGACATACCTGAGTAAGTTTCCATCTTTTTGCGTGAATAGTGTTCTATTTGCAACAGTCCGCTAGAAGCATACTACTTAAAAGCTTGTACAAAATTATATCAGCCTTATTTGTCATCTTAAAACGGCACAGGTAAGAAAAACAAAGAGATAAATGTCGATATATCGAGGATTTAAAAACGAAAACAAAATGTTGCTCAACATTTGACAGATAATAAAGAGCCAGTATATTTGATCTATTACATGTTAATATTCAACCTATTGTTACTATCACTTTGAAGACCCTAAACATAAAGTTTCTACTTGTTCATAGTATTCAAATGACTAGTCAGTGATCTTGTAAATCAGTTCCGCATTATGGTCTGATTTTACTCAGCTTTTTGTTACCTTATTTTATTTTAACTGACGTATGTCAGGGAGGTGTATGTGACACATGGAAGTTATCTAAATGTGTAATTTAAATCTTCATTTATTGACTTTCAGTCCTTTTATGGGACTAAATGATGTTGAAACTATTCATTAAGTGGTTCCATCACGTATGAGTTATCTTTCGAAGACACATCAAATCACGTCTTTATAACTCATGAGTTTTTCCACCGTTAAATGTTGACGGAAACTTGAAGTGATGTACTTGCGTATCAAGTTTTAACTAGTAGCTGGCCGTCTGACCGTTAAAGGTAGTATTTCATCATCCTACACCCTCTAACATCTTTCGTTCCTCGACGACTAACTCTTCCCACATCCCTTATCAACCTGCACTTCTAATTCAAACAATTGGAACTCATGAAACGCTATTCCTGTTCTCCTGAAACCCCGTTTTAAACTACATGTAGCTATTAATGTCCGGACATTGTGTCAAGTAGGGAAACAGGATTCCTTAGCTAGGACTTTAGAATCCCGCGCCATCGATGTTTGCTACGTCTTGGAAATGCGCATACAGGATCCGAGTAAAATCATTAATCTGATTTCGCCTTGTCAAAACAAAGAAGCAGCCCGATTTACTCTTCGTGTATCCGGTAGCCCCGATGCTGCTTCCCGAGGTCTCGTTGGTGTAGGTATAGCATTGAGTCGTAGGGCTGAACTATCTCTCTTAGACTGGATCCCAGTAGATAGTCGCTTGTGTGCTGTCCGACTAAACGGGACAGTAAAGATTCGGAAGTATAGAGACACTCGTCGTTGCCTCTCCGTCATATCTACCTATGCCCCCACTGATTGCAGTTCAGACGAGGTTAAAGATGAGTTTTACAGAAAGCTTTCGGACCTCCTCCAAAACGTTAGGCGCTCTGATGTAGTAATGATGGCTGGTGACTTTAATGCTCAAGTAGGTAGACTGGGTGAAAATGAAAGACACCTGGGTGGATCTTATGGTGTCGCGGCTCAGAGAACAGACAATGGCGACCGTCTGTTGCAAGTATGCTCAGATAACCGCCTATTTCTAGCAAACACTTACTTTGAGCATAAGGAAAAGCATCTTTTGACCTGGCGGCATCCATGGTCGTTTGAATGCTGAACCAGTCACCGATGGAAGGGTTCGATAGGAGATTATCGCTCGTGGGGCACATGTCTAGATTTAGATCATGCTTTACTGCGAGCGCGTATTTGTTTGCGACTTACCGGACGTAAGAAAGACACGGCAAGGAAACCTCTTACGGTTCCACCTAATGATAGCAGAGCTAAGAATATATTTCAGGAACAACCAGAAAACAGTTAGGCGACCATCCATCTCCATGCGGAGGCAGCTTGGAATGATATCGAAAAGGCTGTAGAAACAGCAGCGATATCTGCTTGTAAGGTGAACCATAAGGCTAGAGTGAAGCCATAGATCTCTGTGGCATCCACCGAACTGATGGATGCCCGAAAACTCATCCCACCTGGCTCCGAACATGGTGAAGAACGAAGTCAGCTTAAGCACAGGCTGGTAAAAAGCCTGCGCAACGACCGTGAACAGTGGTGGGTGGCGAAAGCGAGAGAGATGGAAAAGGCAGCGGCGATAGGCAACAGTAGACAACTTTTCCGCCTTATAGAGGAAACCAGTATTAGAAATCCATCTGTTAGCGAAACTACCTCAGGGAAGGATGTTTGTATCATTCATTCTCAATCCAGGAGATTGGATCGATGGGCAGAACACTTTAGGGATCAAATCAATTGGCGTTCAACCACACTTCGGTTGCCCACAATCTCCAGTCATCCTGAACGGCAAATCGATGTAAGTCTTCCGAACCTTTATGAAGTTGAGAAGGCGATAGCAAATCTGCAGCAAGGGAGAGCAGCAAGAACTGATAGATTGACCCCAGAGATTTTTAAAGAAAGCGGCACAGTTTTAACAGTTAGATCGACTGAGATCTTAGGTAGAATCTGGGAACTGGACGTAATACCATCTGACTGGTCTCAATCCCTGATTGTCCCAATTTATGAGAAAGGACAAAAGTCTTCATGTGACAGTCACATGGGAGTAAGTCTAACTAATATGGTTTCTAAATTGTTAGCCTCGATTATACTTAGACCCCTAAGTAGTGCTCGTGAAGAGCAGACTCGAGAAAACCAGGCTGGTTTTCGAACTGGACGTGGCTGTATAGACCACATCTTCACGCTCAGACAGGTCCTGGAACATAGACACACATTTAGGCGTCCTACAATAGTTTTTTTCCTGGACCTTAAGGCGGCATTTGACTCAGTGGATCGTGAGGTTCTGTGGCAGTGTCTGTCATTGAAAGGTGTACCGAAGAAGTACACTAACGTTATACAAGCTCTCAACTCTAAAACTACTGATCGAGTGAGAGCTTATGGCGAACTGTCACCGGAATTCTTTACTTCAAGTGGTGTCCGTCAGGGATGTCCACTCACTCCATTCTTGTTTAACTTGGTCGTAGACATCGTCTTAGAGTTGACATTAAGCTCGTCAGATTTTTCAGGGGTTGACCTTCTACCGGGAAAATCGCTTAATGACCTAGAATATGCCGATGACATAGTTCTATTTGGTGAAGACGCTGACAAAATGCAGAGTCTTCTGACTACCATAAGCAACAAAGCAAGCATGTTCGGGATGTAGTTCTCACCCTCGAAATGCAAAATGTTGCTTTAGGATTGGCTTGTATCGGCACCTGAAATAATCCATACCAAATTATCAAGTAAGTAGAAATATTAGTTCCTTATAGTTTTCATTTCTTAACACAGGATTATATGCAATTGATTTTTTCGCTTTTTATTGTACAGATAAAATATTTCTTTAATCTAGATCAATTTGTCCGTGTTAACTTTTTTTCTTAGACGTATGGATGTTACTTCAAGTGAATGGATTTTTGTGGATCTGTTTCCAGCTTCTGAATTTTCAACAGATGTCAATGAACTATATCCCAAACAATTAGAGGTTTGTTTATCACTATTTCACAAAAAAGTTTTTTAAATAGAAATGCAAGTTAGGAAGAAATCAGAAGTTTTGTTAATAATGAGCACCATTTTTTTTTAGTGAAAAGCCATGAACCGTAAAACCAATCAAGTCTTCTATAGTAAAATAGTAACTCATCGGTGACATTCAATATATTTCATCTTTGATCAAGAATGAACTTGAATTAGAAACGGGGACCATCTGTTTCCTATCTAATGATTTATAGGCATTATACTCGCCACAAGGCAAGGAGTTCTTGGATTCAATACCGTGCGGATTCTTAAGTGCTGTTGTCTAGTACTCAGTGTTTCTCAATCGTACAGCAACTGATGTCAATCAATGATAGATAGTACCGTTGAAATGCTCAGGAATTCCCGTAGATAATTTATCTCAGTAGTGGCTTAAAAATTCTCGATAATGATAAATAGTGCAGCCTCATTCGGGGGGATGTATCATTGAAATATTCCTCCATTCCTATCTTAATGTTTATTATGGATTCTACTGCTATATTATCACTATTCAAATTTACATGCTGTCAAAGCATCTATTGACGATGCTTATATTTCAACAGACACTGATCTATTCAACCCAAACTACTAACTATAGGGAAGTGTTGCCAAACCACTATAAAATAAGTAATCAGAGAAAGAGACACAATAAATACTTACGCTTTTTCAACTAAATTAACTGAATTAATGGAAACTACTTCACCGAATAAAATAAACAATTCCATAGGTCACTTTCACAAATGGTTACATTTGAGAAAATTGTTTAAGATTTAGTATAATTGTATACTTTGATGAGTTTCGAATATCATTTTAAACTTCAGTAATAGGAATTCCTGTGATTTTATATTGATAATTCAAGTTTTATTAAAAAAGAAAACTTTATCTGTTTCACGATTTAATCTTATGATAAATACTTTCGTTTATTTTTCAAAAATAAAACAAAGGCTGATATTCTCTGGTTTTTCCATCAGATAAAATTGTTGTTATTGTTCTCTTAAGTTTTGTTCTGCTAGTTTTGGTGTGTTAATGTGTTCATGAAATAATTTGTACAATTAATTATGTAGCATGTAAAATGTTTCTTTACACAGCAAAATCTCAAATAGACAACAAAAGATGCCATAAATCCTCTTAGAAATTTGACTTGGAATTAATGACTACAAGGAAGATATTTCAATAAATGTACATATTCAAATAAAATTTTCCTCAATTTTTGTTGCATGTTTGCTTATGAAACAATAAAGACTAACCGTATTAGCCACAGCTGCCCACACCATGGAAGGGTTCCGGTTATCAGAAGGGGGGCATCGGTCTCATGACTTCCGAAGGAACTCGGCTTTCATCATGAGATGTCATAGTTCTTCTAAATGAAGACCTTCTAACTTCCAGAGCAGAGTTTGAATTATTGGTTTGAATTATTTTTTCTTGTTAGCGTTTTTTTTGGCAAGTTAGTTTTTTCCGGAATGGGGCCGGCAACCCACATCTCAACCCTCCTCCTTTATCCGGGCTTCGAACCAGCAGTAGCCGCGAAGAGTCTACAGACGGAGTTGTAGTCGCCATTTGCTTTAATCTTAAGCGAGACTATGTAGTATCTTAAGTCACACTGAGTTTTATAATCTCTTGATCTTCAGCTAATTCGTTATATGAAAGCCATCTTTCATTTCACGTATCATATATTAAAGTGCTTTGATAATTTTTTAAGCCTAGTTTAGTACTTACACTTTGGTTATCAGTAGTAGTAACTGGCTGAATAATTTTTCCTTAAATCGTTTTGAAGCAGATATCGATTATTGGCGAAAATTAATTACTAAGTGTAAATGCATTTCTAAACAACGACTACCTTAATAACTTATAACTTTTTGTGTACGACGATTAACGTCTAGGTGTAAGCTCTGATGTACCAAATGACACATAAACTAAATAGTGAATTTTGATATTACGGGTAGCGTGATATCATGAATTTACAGAATTTGAAAATATAAACTTTTCAGTTTCAACTTAATGGTTTAATGATATCATGCTCACAGCGCTAGTACCCAATGTCCCTTGTAGGGTTGTTAGTATTTACTATTAATGAGCTGTAAACTAAATGAGAATTAGTTTTTTTTACTTCGTCGTGAATGGGTTCTCTGGCCAACACTTATTTTGGGCCAGAGTTTTGGAGGTTTGTGTTTTGTTTACACATTTGAAATCATCAGTTAATCATTGTTAGACCACCATTAGAAACATGGAAGAAGCACTGAAAGACGGCCGTTTCGTCCTGGTATGGGACTCATCAGTGGCAGTGCGCATCCGCGACTCCTGCGCCTCGCAGGATTCGAACCCGGGACCTTCGGTATTGTGCGCAAACGCCTAACCATTGGACCACTGGGCCGGCATCCAACGGTGTTAATGTCTAACTCTGATTGATCTAGGGATTTTACGCGACCTCACCCATCTGTCTTTGGTAGTTACTGCATTTACCCGACAGGGTTGAACTCCATTGGTCACGTCTTCTCAACTAGAACTCCGAGAATTTCCTCAGGAAGCTAGTCACTAGTGAGTACATTGTACGATATTTTGGGGCAAATAACTTTGAACTTGTATAATGTTTACGATGACTAGTAATAGTATGTGATAGATGTTATTACCAAAGTTTGACTTGATAATATTAAGTAAATTGAGTAGTGGATGGATTGTTTCCTGACTTAGTATAAGCCAAGTGTTTAAACTTAAGTCAGTTTAATTTGTTTACTTATTCTTTGAAGATGGGATATATACACAAGTCACAAAACGTCAGAAACATTTTAACCTTTCTACTCATAGGGATACTAAAAATATATTATTCTTATTATTAATAGTATGTGATGTACAGTAATGCGGTTCAAATCCAATGTTTTCTACTCAATCTGTGGGGTGCATCATAAGAGTGATTTGTATCATTCTTTTAAAATTTATGCAAAAGTTGTATTTAATAATGATGTAGAATACAAATTTATTTCAAAGTAAACTGTAATGTTTCAGTAATTTTTTTGTTCAGTGAGACTGAGAAGACTGAGGCAGGCGAGGAAGACTGTATTATGCAAATTAACACTCTTAGTCAATTAAAAACGAAAACATTACATTGAACACTATTTGCACACCATCTTTGAGTCGTGACTTCCAACTCTCCATCCTTCTTCCATTCCTGTTGTTGCTTCCTTTCCTTCCTGTTGGTACTCCATTTACTTTTTGCTTTTGCTCCGTTTGCTTTCCGTTTTCCTCTTCTGACCGTGCGACTTCTTCTTTCACGTCCCTTCTTATACTACTTATATCGTTCGTATAAATAGCACACACCACGAGACTACCGAGTTTGGCTTTCATAACTGAATGAAGTAATTCTAGTTAATTTCAATAGTTATTTTACTCATTTTCATTTTTAGCTACCTCATAATGTAGATCCAAATGTTCGACATCGTTTCTTCTATCATAAACTTCAAGCTACCAGTCAAGAATTGTATCAAGGTTTAATGCGTCTTGCCGAATGTCATTACAATCTTTCAAGTACACTTGTTCAAGATATTCCTATGAAAGAAGAAGCCAATATTAATTCTGGTAGTTCAATGTATGGTGTGGAAATACTACATCGAGCTGAAGTACACGATATGTTAAAATGTGCAGGTATTTACGACAAATTATTAGTACGTGCAGATAGTGAAAATAGTAAATCCATATCACGACCGAATTCGGGATTTTCAAAAACTCTAGGCATAAAATGGGTTACACCGAAGTCATCAGATACTAGTAAGTGAAGTAGTTTTATTCCATAACGCGTTATAAACTTCGTTGGGTGACATTTTTATCCTGATTTGTTTTTATTCAACGAAATAACAAATCATGTGGAATATTTCTTGTATTGTTTATTGCACAGTCAAGTTGGCATTGTGATGTAATAACATAATATTTGCCAGAGTTTTATCCAGACTTTTGTTTTTGTTAGGATTATTCGTCAAATATTCTAAGAGAATTATTTTTGTAATTCTAATTCTATTGGTCAATTCCTACTGGTCAATATTATGATCGTCCTAGTTATCAGTGTCACGTACTTCAAATGTTGTTTCCTATTGGTCGCCCTAACTGTCAATGTCACAGACTTCATCGTTGTTTCCTATTCGACCTAAATGTATAAATACGCATTATCTGTAACGTCTTATGACCCGGACTCGGGATCCTGATTCTCTTCTGGATGTTTGTAGAATCAGTCAGTATGTTCCAGCCAATAAAGCTCGGTTGGGTCATCACGATATGCAAGCCCGACCACCACATCAAGGTAGCAGCTATGGTCGGGTTGTAGAACACAAGTTCTACTTCATATCAAGTCTTCTTCTTTTACTCAAGGGCGAGGGGTTTTCAGACAATTGGACCAGAGTAGCATATCGTGTCACCGGATCCTCCATCCTCGCTCTCGTTTTCTGACTAAGGTAAACTCGTTATAGTTCAAGTATATCAAAATGACATGTTTACGTGCATACGTAACAGTTTTGTATCATGTACTAAATAAATAATGCATATTTGGAATAAGTATGCATTGAAAAAAACAGATACTTTATGTTGTACTTTACTCAGCAGTAAATAATGCATGGTATTTTGCAATCCTTTCATTTTTTTCATTACTACATCCAACATGAAAATTCTCAATATTGTATCGTTATCATACATATAAACCAAATTCTTCGTTGAGTATGTATGACTGACTAACTAACTTTCTTTATTATCCAAAATTGTATGCAAGAACAGATGGCATAGCTGTTTCGGATGACAATTTTATTCTAGATTCGATCTCTGGTCAAGCTACTTATATTTGGTTATTTAAGTAGTACTAGTAGTAGTATTTTTAACTGGTGCACGTTAAAAAAGTGTTTTTCAAGGTTCAGTTGATGAGTTTGTACTTAATTACTGTGTTGCATTTATGTAATACCAATTAATTAATTTCTTATTTTCAAAGGTTAAATTGATATTACACAATGTATCTTTTTTTACATTCTATATACTAAATCTGTTCATTTATTTTCGTTTATCACACAATTGCATAATATCAACCAGTGAGTAAAGTGAAGGCTTGATATATGTTTTAACCTTTGATACCGTTATCATAGAAAAATTTAAAATCAAGTAGTATTTATTATATTCTCAAAGATAACAGGTCATGTAATTATGTTGCGGCCCTTGTGATAAGGTCGTTATTATGAGAGCAGTTGTATTATTGTTGGGAACGTTAGATCCCCAGAACTCACTTGATACAGGTCCTAATTTTAGATTTTATATTTTCGAGCATGGGCTGATCAGTTGACTTTAAGATTAAACTTCCCACCCGGAAAATCGTTGACTGTTATTGGTTGATGTATTATTTTAGTACGCTATTTTTGTGTCCCTCCCAAGGACGTTTCTATCATGTATAAATAAACTCGATTTGTGTGCTTGTGAACCTCGATTTTTCGGGTTCTTGTGAATACACTTCTAAGTTTTGTCAAGACTTCTTCCTTCAACTTAGTTGAGGCCTTGGGACGCTCGGATTAGAGTGGCCTATCGTGTCACTGGATTATTTGTCTTCGCTCCGTTTACCGACTCAGGTGGACTCGAAATAGTTTCAAGCATATCAATTATCTCGTCTTATTATTGAATGATTAGCTTACATTAGTTTTAGGAGGACGACTAGTTTTACCAATGATACAATGACCAATCAGAAACGATCGAGACCTTAACGCCTGTTAGTCTTCGATCTCTTCCAACTCACTATCAAATCAGAAGGCTAAGATAACAGACAAATATCCCCTCTATTGGATTGTATTTATTGTTGAATGAAAACTCAGTCAGTTACATATCTCAATCACCCAAACACACAGCACGAAAAAAATTACCATATGTACCCAATTTAGTCATACTGTAGTGAAGGAGAACACAGGTGGGGCGACCGAATCGTATTTAACGAAAATTACAGAGTTACTCAGTAAAATCGGAAAACCATATCGTAAATCGTTAATTTGCAAAATATCAGTTCATCATATCGAACTGGACTGTTCCTGTTGCAAAACATCAATCCATTGTCACTATTCATGCGTTTCATACAAATTCCATTGTGTTCTAACTCTTCCTTTCTTGATCTTCTCCCATCTTCTGCTGCCAGACATTACGTTGACACTCACATCATATACTACTTATAAGTAGCTCGCACCACAATACCTGATACAAAATTGATGCTGTATGAAAATAATTAGTTGACGGCAATTCTTGAACACCAGTAAGACATATAATAGCAGTCTGAAAGTCAAACGAAGGATTCCAAATAGGATAGTATAACAATTCAAAAAATTCAGGTATGCAATAATTGTTCAACAAAAACATAAACAATAATTTTTTTAATGAAAGTTTACTTGATGATTCACAGAATTGATTATAATTCAAACGAGACAAACAATAGATACTTTTACTTGGATGCTACACCGAACTATCCAGTCCTTATTACTATTCACTTCGTTCGCTTCGATTTTTTAGATGTGTACTGTCAATCGATATTCGTTATATAAAAACTGTGCTTCAAAGTGAATCGAGAAAAGCTATTTAAGTTAGGAGTATTAAATTTAACTTGTTCGATATTTTTTATGCTCAGATAATCACTGTTGTTTTTATTACTAGTTCAAATCTTGTTATTGATTTGAGAATTGCGTCATGAATTATCGATTATAAATTAATATGTACTTTTTTTTACTTTCTATAGGTTTTCTGCGCTTCGCTGTTGCAACATACCGAGTAACTTTAGCTGATGTTTGCCACAGAGCATCCACTTGCTTAGCTCAATTTGTTTTAGGAGGTAAATTATTGTTTTATAATTGGACGTATAGAGATAATGTATGGTTTATTGAACCTGTGGAGATTAATTTGTTCTGAAAAAGTTTTTTGTCACGTAAATAAATAATCAAAATTTATCTGATGAATTAAAAGTTTTACGTACTCGTCTCTGAACCACATTGTATCGCAACTATTGATAATACATAGCTGCTGCCTAGAACGATTCATTTGAAACGAGGTTTGAACCCTCAAGCTGCTGGTTTGAGTTTTCTTGTAGTGTAAGCCATATTGATTCATGCCAAAACAAACCAGTAGATATCATAAGATGTTATGTGACTGTATATAAGGTATCACATAGCCTCACCGTCTGCAGTTTGGCTATCCGTAATGATGTGGAATACATCTATGAACTCGTATTATTCTAATGGCATGCAAAATCAACAGGAAACAATGAAAGGAAAAATAAACTGCAGTTATAGGTGAGAAAATGACTTAAAATATCAGATAAAATTAAGATTGCTTAGGTGTAGCATTTAGAAGCAAAGTCCTATATGTAACGGATTCAGAAAAATGATTTATAACAAAAGGAACTACTTGATATTAATGAGTAGTATGAATTGGTCCATAAAAAACGAGAAAAAACTGAGTGCTACTCAGATCTTAAATTTATAGGATTTAGGCTCAAGCCCTTTATAATGCATTTATCTATGCTACTAGAATAATAGACCTATTCCACAATTGTAGATATGTGACTACTCAACCTTTAAGGTATTACGTTGAAGTCACATCATTGTCTATACTGACTCATCATGACAGTCAGCAGTATGTTTTTTAGTACTTCTGAAGAACACATTTGGGCGGAAGCTAGAATGATATTTTTAATATGGAAAGGAAAAGGTTACGTAGAGTGACCACATCTTCATAATCGAGCCGTTGCATTCTGATTAAGTATTCCCGCATTCACTACTTATAGTCTTATCCAAGTGCTTAATGGTCAATACGAGTCTTTTAAGTTATTACATGCTGAGCTTCAAGGATCGTGTAGTTAAGGACTAATGCCATTACAAACTCATTAAAAGACTCATTTAGGACACCAATTCACACTCATTGTTTATGAAAGTTTAAAGGTATAGTATCCCTTTATGGAGCAAATCAATTCACAGTGTAAACTGCCTAGAGTTACTTGTCTAACATTTCGTTTGTTTATTTATCCATCTTAAAAGCTCTAAGTTCTTGGTAGAGTTTCGTTCTCTGAGCTGGATGCTTAGTTAGAATACTCCCAAATATTTGGTTATATGACAAAATCCAAGTTTTGATGATCAAAACGCTATTGAAACGTTCTGCTGATAGATACTTGGTATTTTTAGCCCACTAAATATACACTCTCAAAAGCATTTTGCACTACCAAATTTTCATAGCAGTTTAATAAATGTGTTGTATATTAATGTGTGAAGGGAGATATGCATTTCAGTGCTTAGAATATTTTACATCATGTTAGATTATTTCATGTCAGACGAATTTTAACTACTGATTGTAAGATTAATCATCGTAAACTTGGTTCACACCTATTTTGGATAAAAAAAATTATGTTCAGTAAGGAAACGATTTAATAAGCGATATCCTTTCTGAATTGTCAGTGAGATAAATGAGAATAGTACTGATATCCATACATTTAGTTAGGTAATCGATTATATTTTATTCACTCAGCTTATTGCTTCATCGTTTAGTGTAGTTTTCTTAAATGCAAATTTAATAGTTTTAATTTGATCAGCTTTAAAGGTTTCTCTAATTTTTGCCTTTTTTTTATCTATCTTGTACGTTGATTTTACTGTTTATTGTGATATTACTTTCTTACGCCTGTCACCCACAATGGAGCATAGGCCGCCGACCAGTGTTCTCCAACCTACTTTTTCTTCGACCTCCCTTTCCAATTCTGTGCAATTTTCGTTCATTCTTTTCATATCTTTCTCTATTTCTCGGCGTAATGTGTTCATTGGCCTTCCTCGTTTTCCTTTTACCTTGAGGGTTTCCAAGTCAGTGCTTGTCTTGTGACGCAGTTGGGTGCTTTCCGTAGCGTGCGTCCTATCCACTTCCACCGCTTCTTCCTGTTATTTTGATATTGTATATACTTAATTCTAAGAGAAAATATCTTTATTTTTCCTCAAGTTGCATACGTATGTAAACTGTTTTCATTATCGTTCAAATTTATTTATCCCCTTTTTTGTCATCTCATACAGGTCGGTCTGTTGCATTGGCTCATCGTTTACAGTCTTCATTTCCAGCATTACCTAACGATTCCAACTTCCTTGCATCTTGTCCAACAGATGAAGCTCTTCTACTCACTTGTCATGGATCTGTAATGTATATACATGTTTTAGCTACACTTTTCCCAATGACTCATCCACAGAATATTTCTTTGACATCTAATCCTAATATGTCTACGGGAGATTATCGTGTACAAGCTTTCATTGATCAAATTTTACGTCCTTCTCGTTTAGCTCCAGCGTCAGCTAGATTAAATTATTCTGTATTCCCTAAAAAACGAGGTAGGATATTGTCAGTTTATTTTTTATACTGTTCAATTTTTTACTGTCAGTCTAACTAAATGTGCTATTTATTTAAAATTAATAAATATTGCGATAATCACAACATGGGTTCGTGTAGAGGTAAAGTTTTATTGATTTGACTTGACTAGCAAATATAAACTCTAAAAAGTCGTTTCTTTCTCTTCTACTCTACATGAACACCTTGAATACTATTTGAGTAGAGTATATGATATGAATTTAGAAACCTCATAGCTCTAAACATTCTTGTTCTTAATGGATATGGGTTAGATCGATTGCACTGCGCGAAGGTGCACTTAATTTTGGGTTTTTAATTTATTAATAGCCTGATGCTTGTTTTCATTATTTGAAACTACTTTTTTTCGGCTTCACATTATCAAAATAAATCATTCAGTAATTATGTATTGAATTTTTTAAATATTAGTGTATGTATGTATTCTGTAGTAAAAGGAAACAACTTGGTAATTGAAGAGTTGTCAGACCAATAAACATAACTTCATTCTATCAACCTTCACAATTCCTCACCGTCTATATCTTTCTCTTTCTAACTTTATCTCACTGAATCATACATCCCGAATCTTATCTTCAAATCCTAATCTTCTCCATTACTGCTAATACTTTTACTATCTCTACCACTCTTTGATTTGAACTGACAGTTACGTCTCTGTGCTAATGCGGTATGACAATCTGAACCGATGTACTTACGTAGGAAGTTCTGTGTTGTCTCTGTCTGTCTGTCATTCTATCAAGTGACCGATCACTGTTTGAAACTTTGTGATTAGGGAGACTTTAAACGAATTTATAGTATTAGGTCGATGACTGTGGATGTTCAGATGTCTCCTTTTATTATCATTATTTTTTCTCACTATATAACTGTACCTTTTACATAGTATTAGTTTTATTTACACTTGTTTGCTCTATTTTTTCTTTGACACTGTGTTGGTATGGAGTATATGGAATCTCGAACGTATATGTACCATGTCGTGCTTTGTCTACATTTATCTATTCAAGTTTACTCTACATCTGTAGCTCTTGCATTTTACTGAGTAAATGAATAATGAGACGGTTACAGATTGTTGTCACTGTTCGTTTGATATTTCGGTTTCCATTCATTGCTAACAATACAGTTTCAGACAGATAGACAGAAAGATACAACACAGAACTTCGTACGTAAGTACATCAGTTCAGGTTGCCATACCACATCAACACAGAGACGTAATTGTCAGTTCAAATCCAAGAGTTTCAGTGTTTCATAGTTTGTTTTAATTTACAAAATAATTATTTGATTATTCTCATTTATTCTAACTAGCTCAGCAACATATCGAACGTCAAACACGATATTGGCCACTTATGGAATCTCAAACATTACTAGGCAAAACTAAGGTTAGTAAACGAAATTAATATCGTTGTGAATTGCTGCCAAGTACTACTTGGTTATATAATTTTTATGTTTAGACTTATTGACCATGTTGTTTCGAATTTTATAATATTTCATGCCTCCTTGTTTATTTATAAATTTACTGACTGGCTTAGCATAAAATCTAGTATATTATTTCCCTCTTATATAGTTATGAAAACAACTCTATCACAGAAAGCGAAAATTCTGAATAATTTTAAATAAAAACACGTAAACATAGTATAAATTTACAAGATTTGTTGTGTAGTGTTTCTAGACTGCATCTTTTCGATTTATGTGAAGCGCTAATGATTTTATTTTCAGCATAACACAGTAATTTTATGAATGGATATTGTAACCATTCTAATAAAATTAATTATCAACCAATTCTACACTGTTGGTAGAGAACGATGAAGTATTTGTAACATATGTTTTGCTCCATTGACGGGTGTTTAGTTATCAGTTGTTTTTCATCCCCTGTATATTGATACTCAACTGTAAAAATCATTACTGATTAGTTAACATTACTAGATTGAGACCTGTGTTACGAATGACCAACCACCGACTGCCTTGACGAACGATGTTTTGTGGTGTAGGAGTAGGTTGGAAGAATGCTAGGGACGGCCAAATTCAAATATTGCACAAATTCATGAAGCCACTGAAAAGTGGACTGAATGATGTTGGTAGATGTAGACTACCTGGTTGGGGTCCGCGAGACGAAAGTCACCAATGGTTAGAGATCTTGAATGACATGGCTCAAAATCGTTAGCAATGGCGCAAGTGCATCCATTCTTTGTGTTTTCTTAACTGCTGATCTTCTGAATTCCTCATTACCTTTATATTTCTCTTTCTAAATTTATTTCACTGTACTATACTTCTTAAAATGATATTTTCGAACCCTAATCTTCTCCATTACCGCTAATACTTACACTATTTCTAGCACTGTGGGATTTGAACTGACATTCGTGTCTCTGTGCTAATGCTGTATGGCAACCTGGACTGATGTACTTACGTACGAAGTTCTACGTTGTAACTGACTGACTGACTAGATTGAGAAATTCATATCACCAGTCTCTGTAACTTTCCCTAGTGTTATGACGTATGTGTAAACGATGTGAATATCAATCAATTATTTTCTCCATATTAATAATTATTTTACATTGAAAATTCCATTTTGCTTTGAACATATCGAATAAAGTGATTATTAATATTACTATTGTTATTAGTTAGATGTTGCCCGAATTTCGACATTCGATTACGAATATTTAGTTCATAAGCATAAATCTCTGTAAAAATATCCAAGTAATGTAAACCACCCTCTTGTTACGCATGCACGTAAACATGTTATTTGAGATGCTTGGGCTATTACGAGTTTACCTTAGTCGGAAAATGAGAGCGAGGATCGAGGATCCGGCGACACAACATGCTACTCTAATTCGAGTGTCCTAATCCCCATTCGGTGAAAAAAGAAGATTTGATATGAAGTAGAACCTGTATTCTACAAGCATCCAGAAAGTACGAGGTCCAAGTCCAGAAGAAGATAAGGATCCGGGACTGAGAATCCGGTCCCTAAAACGTTACAGATAATGCGTATTTATACATTTAGGTTG